CCCCCCCGGCCAAGCCAAAGCACCGTCACCAAATTTGACTCGGGTACCTACCTAGGTTGGTTCCTTCCTACCTTGGGTACCAGGTACTTAAGTAGTTAGTTTAGGTAGGTGATTACCACTAGTGCTGCTACCACATCCTCCTTCTTTCTTTCTCTTTTTTTTCCTTTTTTTCTTCCCCCCACGTCTGGCCAGCAGTGACATCTCCACATACCCTTCATATCAGAACCTTTTCCAGTATCCATCCCATCATCCATCACCGCTGCTACCGTGGCAGAATCGCAAGGAGATCGCATCTTCCGTCACACAATTAGGACCCTGTGGCCAAGGCCCGGCAACGGCAACGGCAGGTTTATCACCACCCCTCCCTCGACTCTTGCTTGCCGCGACCCTCGCTTCGACTTGGATGCGACGTTGCGGCCAATCCCTTCAACATGGACGCCAAGGGCGCCTCTGCCTCAACGACGCCCAGAGGCATTCGGAAATCCAACTCGACAAAATCCGCTGGTGCACACTCTACCAAATCACACGAATCCGTCGACGTTCTCGGCGTCCACCCCTTTGGAACCCTGCGCGTCCTGAGACCGGAATGGTCTCCTCGCATATCCGAACAGATGATTACGGCCGGCAGCCATGAAGAAGCTTCTTCTCCTCTTCCTCCTCCTCCTCCTCTAGACTTCCCTGCGGAAAGTGCCTATGGTCTGGTCGGAAACCACCTTCCCAGTCGCGACACTTCTTCTGCGAGCCCGACCAAAAGATGCGCGGATCCTCAGGCCCATCAAATGGGAGGGGGCGACGTAGCCGTCATCCTCGATCTCCCAGAAGTCTTCCTCGTTGCCTACGACAGCGTTTCCTTCACGGCGCACAACTTTGCCGGTGTGAGGGATATCCCACCTGGGCCGCACTTCTTCTGGGTTGCTCACCCAAGTGGTGTTGCTGCGCGCGCCGGAGTCTGGCTTCTCGGCTCGGAATCCCAGGACCATGTTCACGTTGTGCAATGGGACTCGTACAACGAGGTGCTGACCGAGGCTACCCGCTCAGAGTCTCGCAACAGCGCCGAGAACATGCCGAACATTCATGCTCAGCTTATTCCATATCCCGACCCGTCGCGCCTCGCTCAGGGTCCAGGCCGGCTATCCGTGTCCCAGATGGAGAGCAACCGCAGCATCTGGGCCCAGTTGACCACTCATGTCAATGCGACAATCTTGAACAGAATCACCGGACCCCAGGTGGGTGGCTGGATCGTGCATACCCTTGATCGTGCTCAGGGCGCCCTTCAGTTCTCTCCCGAGGTTGAACTGGAGCGAGCCGTGCCAAATAAGAATCTCCAACGGCGAGAGCTGAACTTTACTTTTGAAACGACAACCAGGCTCTTCTCGATCGAGTCTCTTGGGGCTGAGCGCACACAGGAGGCCATGGACCCCAGCGTCTATCTCATGTCCCAGATCGAAGACCCTGACAAGAACCTGGCTTATGAAGACCTCGTTGGGGAGTTTCAGTTTTCATTCATTGTGGGAGTCCACCTTGGGAACGACGCCAGCCTCGAGCAATGGTGGTTCATGCTACTCAAACTCCTCGTCAAGTCCCATCTCCTGCTGCAGGAGCAGCCCTTGCTTGTGGCTTCCATGTGGCGCACCGTCGCCGCGCAAATCACATACAGCAGTCAATGGATGGAGAGCTCCGTTCTTGACAACACCGAGTCCAGGTGTCGAGAGCTTCGCATCGGCCTCATCGTTTACAAACGCCGCATGGAGGAGTTCCTCTCAGACGACGAGAACGTTGTTACATCAGACCATCTCTCCGTCAGCACGGCCTTTTCCAGGCTAGAGGCCGTCTTGACCGACCTAGGGTGGGATCTTAGCGGCGACTACCTCAGAAAGGGCGTTGTCATGATGGAAGATGGAGAACAAGTAGAACTGGAGCTGACTGACTTGGAGGCTGAGGACGAGCGTGGCGAATGGGCACCCGAGCTTGTTGAGCTTGACGAGGATGGCCGTGAGCGAGGCTTGATTTCGTGGTCTTCCTAGACAACCAACACGGCAAGGTATATTTCGACACCTCAAGTGTCTCGCCACCTTGCTCGAAAGAGACCTTCCGAAGCCCCAGCTTCTTCTGTGTTGTGACTGTCAAACGCACAAGAAGTGGGCCCATGTTTCCTTTGCTTTGCTCTCCTGTCCTTCTTCCCTTCCTTTCCTTTCCTTTCCTTTCCTTTCCTTTCCTTTCCTTTCCTTTCCTTTCCTTTCCTTTCCTTTCCTTTCCTTTCCTTTCCTTTCCTTTCCTTTCCTTTCCTTTCCTTTCCTTTCCTTTCCTTTCCTTTCCTTTCCTTTCCTTTCCTTTCCTTTCCTTTCCTTTCCTTTCCTTTCCTTTCCTTTCCTTTCCTTTCCTTTCCTTTCCTTTCCTTTCCTTTCCTTTCCTTTCCTTTCCTTTCCTTTCCTTTCCTTTCCTTTCCTTTCCTTTCCTTTCCTTTCCTTTCCTTTCCTTTCCTTTCCTTTCCTTTCCTTTCCTTTCCTTTCCTTTCCTTTCCTTTCCTTTCCTTTCCTTTCCTTTCCTTTCCTTTCCTTTCCTTTCCTTTCCTTTCCTTTCCTTTCCTTTCCTTTCCTTTCCTTTCCTTTCCTTTCCTTTCCTTTCCTTTCCTTTCCTTTCCTTTCCTTTCCTTTCCTTTCCTTTCCTTTCCTTTCCTTTCCTTTCCTTTCCTTTCCTTTTTTCTTTTCTTTTCTTTTCTTTTTTTGTGCGTGTGTGTAGTCGGTGCACCAATCACTCGTCCGGATTGAAAGATACCATGGCGCAAATTACGGGAGCAGGTGGAGGAGTTGGAAATGCTGTTTCTGCAAAACACACCATGGAGTAAAGGGATTCTTTACCACTCAGGCAACGGTCATCTGCTTGGATTGACACGATGGTTTTTTTTTTTTCCACCACAGGGGGAGGTCTTGGATCACACCTCTTGGCGTTGTAGGTTTCGTTTAAACCAACACGCATCATGTATGCACTACGGGCCACTTGGCCGTGAGGAGCGGCGAAACAGGCGCAAGGGAGCATCTAACTTGTTGACTTGCTTGTGGTGCCACCAAGACGACGGGGCGCTACACCACAGTCAAGGTTTCCGACATATTAGGGGAGGTGTACTTCGCATATACATGATGCACTCTCTGGTTTCAATATCATTACCCAAGCTAGCCGGCTGACTGACGTGTCTTTTGTCGTTCCCTTCAGATTGTCCGATGCCATGTGAGGGCAAAGATACATGTGGTAGTATTAATAGTGCAGTGTCCACGGCGGTACGCGGCCTGGACAAATTGTGTCATCTTCCGCTGTCGATGCTCGATTCTCAAGGCGCGGCGGTCGAATGGGATGCAGCGAGTGGCAGCGGCGTGCACATGCATTCACTGGGCACCGTCCGACCCGGCCATGTATGTGTCTGTCCGTCTGTCCGGGTGTCATGGTACGTCAACGTTGGAGTATTTCAATTGCCTGTCAGACCCTTTTACATTGCGCCCAGACCAAGTCCCTGCAAATGCCAATGGGAAACATCCTAGCCCCCGTGCCGGAGGGACATGAGACTCCGACCCATCTTGTCTGTTTTGTCAGTCCATGACTTGGCGCTTCTTCCTGTCCACATGCCAGATATGGCTGGCTGTCTCCCCCCCCCTTTCCCGCAACCGCCTCTACGACCAAAACAAACTCCCACTCCTGTCACGCTGGTAAGGTGCTGGCAAAACCCAGTATGCTCGTCCTTTTTGGTTCTAAAAAAAAAAAAGAGTACCATGCTGCCGCGCCACAAACCATCAGCGAAACAAAGAGTCTTCGGTCCGTCGCGTCCCGGCCAATCGTCGAAACCAAACAAGAGCCTCGCATTTCTGTCATCCCCCCCCATCCTTCCCTCCTTCCTTCCTTGCCTCCTCTCCACCCCCTCCCGGGGATCCATGCAACGCCTTTATCGGTAGGACTTCTGGAAGCGGGCTCTGGCACCGGGACCACCAAACTTCTTGGGCTCGCAGCGGCGGTTGTCGGCGACGAGTAGGGTGCGATCGAACTGGACGAGGGCCTGCTTGAGCATGTTCTTGGAGTGCTCGTCGACGTACTTCTGGTAGTAGGCGATGAGGGACTTGGCAATCGCCTGGCGGATGGCGTAGACCTGCGACGTGTGGCCGCCGCCGGTCACGCGGACGCGGATGTCGACGTTGGCGAACTTGTCGAGGCCGACGACGAGGAGGGGCTCGTAGACCTGTTTGCCGCCACGGGGGCCGCCGTCATTAGCAAAGATGCCGAGATCCAAGATGCTCCTCCCAAGAGATGAAATGAGGGGTAGTGTATGTAGACGCTGCGAGATGGGAAAAGACAAGGGGAAACGACGGCAGCTCGCTCGGAACCCCCCGCGCTAGGCACTTCGGGGTGCCTCTGCAAAGCTGGAGTTGCGTCCTGACGAATCTGCAGGGCACATGTAGTCGGCACCGCGTCTCGTGGGTCTTTGCTTCGGGAGTTGGAGGGCAAGGAGGGCCAGAAGCGCCACGGGGGGAGGGGCGATTTCGTTTCCGGGCCTCATTTTTCCTCGATTCTAGACGGGATGGGAGGACTCTGTGTGCTTGTTCCCAATTGTGATTGGGGCCAATGGTGAATCTGTGTCATCGTACCTTGAAGCGCAGGATCTCGGGCTGCACCAGGCCCAGGGGGCGCCCGTTGACCTTAACCAGACCACGGCCAGCCTATATCGGGGAGGGAGAGCACAGCATGTCAGTCTGGATCCTGTCCCTCGTTTCGGTCGTGGGATGACGAGACTGAATTCTCGAGCCCAGAGGGCGGGTAGGGGTGCGGTTGCGTCGCTCCAACGAACCTTGCAGTGGGCGACGGCGGTGGCCGTCTTCTTCTTGCCGAAGCATTGCACGCTCTGTGTCGTCGAAGACATGATTGCTGGGTTGTCTGGGTGTTGCGAGTGAGCGTTGCGAGTGATCGATCGGGCGGGACGTGATGGAGTTGCTGGCCGGTCTCACTCGGTAGGCGGCCCAAGTTTTTCGCACAGAAAGGGTTTGAGCCCTCGACGAGACGCTAGTCTGCTTTTGGCCGTGCAGGGGCCCGCTGGGATTTTTCTCCCGTGGGCTTGGCGTGGTGCAAATTAGACGAGCGACCGCCACACAAAATCAAGCGCAGGAGACGAAGGGGAAAACAAAAACCATCCCCCCACGTGACCGGCAGCCCTAAGCCCTTCGAATTGGCGTCCGACTGTGGTGGCATCCGCCAAAAATTCCGCCCCGAGTTGAACATCACGCCGGCCAACCTTTACAGCCCATCGTCTGAGACCAGGAGCATCCGCCGTCAAGGTAGGCTCGCATGCCCTCACGTAGAGCCGACGCCTCTACAAGACTATTGCCGTGCTGACCTTTTGCCGCCGTCAAGATGGTATCCGCCAAGAAGCACGTCCCCATCGTGAAGAAGCGTACGTGTCGTGTCCAAAGGGTCAACTTTACCAGTCGTCGAGCCGTTGCGAAGACGGGAGGGGGGATCGAGATGCGGAGACGGCAGCCCGAGACTTGCCATCTCCCGAGCATCGTGTACAAGTGCTGACTTGGCGATTTGACACCAGGCACCACGCGCTTCAACCGCCACCAGAGTGACCGGTTCAAGTGCCTCAATGCCAGCTGGCGCAAGCCCAAGGGCATTGACAACCGTGTCCGAAGACGCTTCCGTGGAACCATGGCCATGCCCTCCGTATGTTCCGAGTACCCTCCCCGCGGCGAGCCGTGTCCCTCTTCAAAACAAACCCCCCCAACCACGCTGGAAGTGTCGAGAGCCGGGAGGAATCATGATGAATCCCCCCTCCACGGAGGTCCTCTTGCACGCTCGCTATACACGTCCGAGGGGGTGGTTGAAGGATCCGTGGCACGAGCGAGGTCGGTTCGCGCCAGGGCAAGAGCAGATGCTGACGAATCGGGAATCGCAGGTCGGTTTCGGATCCAACAAGAAGACGCGCTACATGATGCCATCCGGCCACAAGTCGTTCCTGGTCAACAACGTCAAGGACCTCGAGCTGCTCATGATGCACAACCGAACCTACGCCGCCGAGTACGTCGTGCCAACGCTCACGCTCTCCACGTACTCAGAGAGGAGGAGAACACCTCGCTAACCGAGCCCCCCCCCTTGCAGGATCGCCAGCGCCGTCTCGTCCCGAAAGCGAATCGACATCATCGCCCGCGCCAAACAGCTAGGAGTCAAGGTCACGAATGCCAAGGCAAAGGTCACCACCGAGGTGTAAAGAGTTTGAGTTTTTCGGTAGGGCGAGGAAGGGAAACGAATCGTTTCGGGGGCCACTTTCACGGATTGCATCGGACTGGCGGTTTTCATCATCGAGTCTTGCCTTTTGGTTTTTTTCCTCCACCCAGACAAGAAGGAAATAAAAAACACATGTCGAGACCCAGCTCGCCCGTCCTCTCGACCGATTGGTCTTGTGAAGAGTGAACAAGTCGCGGCGGACGCTTTGACGCTAGCTCGCGGACGGAAAGGCGGCGTTGGCCCTCTCTTTGCCTCTCTCTGCCGCCTCTGTCTTTTTTTACCCCTTGTGCATGCTTAACCTCGCTGTTTTACACGATATGTTTTTGCTCGTGGGCAGAGAGCGGGACGGGGGAACAAGAAACGAAACGAACAAAAACTTGATGCATTGGTGTAGCGACGATTCTTTGCGGCTTGAGACCCAAGATCGGCCGTGCGATATACACCTGTTCGTTTTGTCTCATCTACGCAGGAACAGGCTGGACACTCAGCCCCATGGCCATTGAAGCGCAGTGTGTTGGCCTTTTGCTCCATTGCTCCGTTCCGAGTCGTTTTGTGTCAGTCAATAGTACCTGCCTACGTACGTGCCTACATCCTGACCGCTTCACAAGGTGACACGCCATGGTGAAACTTCAAAGCCACGCCCCATTGGGCTTCAATGCCGACAAATGACGTGCAAGAGTCTCAGTTGAGCTGACGCACAGTCCATTGCGAGTATTCATCGTCCTTCGTATTTGCAACCCTCTGCACATATGAAGTTACACTATACAATATGGTACAACCCCGTCTCCTGCACATGACGATGATAAATGTCCCCGTCTAACGCAGGTGTAGTCCTCTACAGCCTCACGGGTCACTGATACATATTCCTTCTCCCCCCCTCCCCCGTGGCAGCCTTTCAAAGTCTGTCTGCACTACTTCTTTGCAGATTACCATCCAAGAATGAATGCGCATCTAAAGATCAAACCCAGAAGAAAAGAAAATGATGAGTAGGCCAGTGTCGTTCGGTCCAAGCCCTTCGTCTCTAGTTCAGGAGCCGAGGGTTATTGCAGATCAAAACCGCAGCCTGCAACGCAGACCTGACCTTTCAGAAATGGAAGATGGAGGGCCAATCAACTCCATGCGTAAAAGACAAAAGAAGACGTAAGAAGAAGAAAAGGGTGATATCAAGCATAGGCCAGTCGCTCTGCATGGCATAATCTTCCGTGATGGGTCCTTTTGTGCGTACAGTGTTCAAGTTCTCATATCGGCATTTTTATCCTTCTTTAATATCCCGACAAAACATCCAGAGCAAACCAAGATGGGAAGCCAAAAAAAAAAAAAAAAAAAAAAAAACAGGCAGTAGAGATCCGGAAAACTGGACCTAGAGATGTCAATGACACCGTCCCGCGTGCATTTCAATGTGCTACTTAAACCGCTTTTCAACGCAAATCAGTTCTGACCCAGACGCCGTAGTGACTGATGAAAGACGTGTGTGGATTTGGTCTTCCCAGCCAAAATGCTAATATGCCAAAGAAGCAAGTCGTTGCATTGTTGATAGCTTTAATATCTCGTGCGAATGCAAATGATGGAACAAAGGAAGGCAGGGAGTGTCAATCATGGCATGACCGGCCTCCTGTCTGCGGAAAGTGGTCGATTCAAACGCCCGGCGCAAAGACTCTAAATGGTGCCGCGAAGACGCTGCTTTCTGGCAAGCCAATCTCCAAGCATGTTGTCAAGTTGCTACGCACCCCAGCTATTAGTTTTGCCAATTCTCGTCTAGTTTTGGAACAGGCTGTTGCTCACCGTTGTGATTTCTGCCAATTTAGCATTTTGCTCTCGGAAGAGGCCGCCGACGACAGGATGGTCTAGTCCTGCCGGCTCAACATTCGTCTTATCATATACGACCGCCAGTAGGTCACGAATATGATCACTCTCATCAAAGAAGGCCCGAAGCTTTGTGTCATCCCATGTCCCTTCCTTTGCACTGCTGACGGAGCTACCCTCCCTGGCAAGCTTGTCAACAGTCTCTGCAAGCTCTGGTGATGGCGAGACTTCGGGCGAGTTATCCTCCGGCGACGAAGTATCGGCCACGAGTGGAGGCGGATTGGATGCATGAACTGGCAGCGAGGACCCATTTCTCTCAGGATTTTGATCTATTGGACTTTGCTGAGCAAGAACAGCTCTGGCCGTCGAGTGGACTTGAGCGCTGTCGACGCGAGGTCTTGTGGGCCGCTGATCAATCCCATCTCCATGTTCCTGTTCCGCGGGCGCAGCGGACGCAGCAACCGATCGCTCCGTGCGAGGCTCTTCGAGCTCGGAGCTGTCAGACGTATCAAGTGCCATGCGCGTCTTGGCCTTGACCGTCTTCTGCGGTTTGAGGTCAGCACCACTGCTGGCGCTGCGGGAAGGCACAAGTTTAGACATGACTGATTTTTCCTCTTTTTGACCAGCCGATGAGGCTGACCGTTCCCTAGAAGCAGCCCGAGTCGGTGTCTGGTTTACTGGCACGTCTTGGGCCTCATTCGTGTCAGGGTCGACAAGCCGCATAGAAGCTGGCGGCACGTTTGAAACATCGTTCGTTCTGCCTTCAGCAAGATATGACGAAAGCTCAACGGACTTCGCACCGGCTCCTGATGCCGTGTTGTTAGACACAGACACTTGGACCTTGGAAGTTTGCCTGTGAGATGTTGTGCGGTCCGGTGATAATCGTTCCTCAAAGGAACGCTCTTCGCTGCCTTGTGATTCCGACATGATGTCCATGGATCGCTTGCCGAACGACTCATCATCATCCTCAGAAGTCTTCCTTTTGTCCTTTCTTGAGAAGAATCCGCGAAGGCCGCCAGACTTCTTGTCCTTCTCTTTCCTCTCCTTCATCTTCTTCTTTTCCTTGTCGGAAACAAGCTCACGATCCATCTTGTCCAAGCTTGATCCTGACCTAGCATCCTTGGTGGTTGAGTCGTTGGATGGTCTTGGTGTATTATCGTCACGCAGGAGATTCGGCGTCAGGGTGATCTTCTTGGTTTCTACGCTCTCATCCTTGAAGAACGAGTCGGTATTCCTGACTGTGCCATTTCTCGATCGACTGGGACCCTCAGGCTTTTCGTCGATTGAGTCCTCGCTGGTCCTGGGATCGTCATCATCTGCCTGTGCGTCCTTTGAGGATTCCGTCGCAACTAATTCCTCCTTTGATGGCCGAGATTTAAGAGGCTCAACCTTTGCAGTCTCATCTGCAATGACGTCTTCAGTGCCGTTTTGCTTGACTTGCTGTCTCTGTTTGTGTTGCTTTTGTTCTTCTTCTTGTTGTTCTTTTTGGTGCTGTGTATTCGCTTGAGAGCCGAACAAGTCTTCAACATCTTCATCGTCTGTGGAATAGTCGAAGTCGGAATAATCAACATATGTTGGATCAGCAAATGTTACAGTTTTTCGCCTCCTTCGCATGGCTATGAAGGTACTCTTTTTGTTTTGCGCCTGATCGCCCAGCATAGTTGCAGAAAGCTAAAATTGGTCAGTTTAGTTTCTGGCGTCACCATTGCTGGTGTTTGAATTTGCCCATACATCAATGTTTCTATGTTTGTTTAACCGTGCTAGTCGTTCAGTGGGCGTCTCTATGTGCTCAGCAGGAAGATAGCCTACACACTGCATATCAGCAACGACTACCGACAAAAGCGTGTGCACGTGCGTGTCTGTGTATTCTTACCGATGCTGCTGTCCTTGACCACTCGCACCAGCCACCAGTAACTGTTGCTGTCATCCAACAGTACCATAGTGTCGCCTTTAGTGGCATTGGCTTGGCCTTCCACGGTTGCGACGAAGGTGTGAAGAGCATAAACAAATTCAAAGTCGATATCCTCTGCTTCAAGTAAGCATTCGCCCTCGCCGCAAGGTTCAAAAAAGCCAACATGATCGGGTTGTGAATGAATGGAATATACGTGGCCATCTCCCGAGCTCTCCATTTCGGACAGGCATTGCGAACCAGTCAGGACAAATGGGGCATCGGAATCGTCATTGAAGCTAGCGCACTTGGAGCGACGAGAGCCGTGGTGGAAAGGGAATGCGAGAGTATCGTCAGATCGACAGCAGTCGCAGGTGTGTGCCTCCAAGACGGGATCCGGTCCAGCACGCATGAGCAGGGGACTCTAAGCCTTGGTGAGACGCGCCGAATGGCCAGGCCAGTCTGCGATGGCACAAGGAGGGCAATCCGCTTCCTGACTTGTAGCTCTATTGAGACGACCGACTTCAAGCTCTGTGAGACTCTCGCATTTTTCGTCACGATCCTGACCCCGACCTCGGCCAAAGCTTGAGCCTGCGTATTGCCGTCGAGAATCCGACCGATGTTGCCACTCAGCAACAGACTCGGGTTTGCTGTGCGGTGATACACTTGTCTCAGGAGCGGGAAAAGCTTGCTCGAGATTGACGCAGCCTGCAGCTACTGGCTCAACCATTTCGGGGGGGTTGTTCGCAATCTCCATTTGTCGGGGCAATGATGCGAGAGAAGAGTCACGCCGCGGCCAAGCCGCTGGGGTTTTAACAGGGTTCAACGCACCGTCTTCTATAGAGGGAGAACTGGAAATCTTATCCATTAGGTCGTCATCTAGATCGTCGCCGTCGCCGTCAAGGTCATCTTCGTCGGCCGGGGTGAGGCCTCCATTCTGCGCAATGGCCAAGGCATCTTGCTGATGGCCGTGATACATTTCAATACCCAGGCCACCTGCGGCGACGTCGTGGGTGGCCACAGCTGAATGGTCGTCGGCGTCGTGCTGTCGGAGCAGTTGGCTGGTGTCGTGGTCGGCTTTGCCGTTGACCGAGGACACGCTTGGGCTACGGGCCTCGGCGACGGCGGTCTCGAGAGCGACCTCGCGAAGGGTCTCGGCCTGGTGAGGAGCAATTGACAAGCCCGGAGCGCCAGGAGGCGTACCGGAGACGTGAGGGTGGCTGGGATGGTGGTCCTTCGCCGACGGCGCAACGTGATCCTGAAGATCGAGCGTGTCTGTCGGATGCGACAGCAAGCAAGGCAAGGTCAGCAAGAGTCGAGGCCTTTGTGCAGGGCAGACGGGCGGGCAGACGGGCAGGCAAGCGCTGGCCGTTCAGAGGAGACAGCACACGGCGCGGCAAAACAAAAATAAAAATTCGGATCTGCGTCTACGGTGGGAAGATCGGGCAAGCTGCGCAGGTGGCTGGAATGCACTGCTCCGTCGCAGAACAGCCTGAGCAGCATGAACAGCACGAGTAGCATGGACAGCCCGGACAACCTGAAGCAGCCCGGCATGTGCAGTCGCGAGTAAACACCTCCCGGGCTGAAAACGAGAGAGGCGGCCGCGACGACGACGACGACGACGACCAGGGGTGAGGGGAGAACGAAGGACCACGGTCCATGGTCCGCGGTCCATGGCATGGCGCAGACGGTGGGTAGGAAAAAGACCGGGTGACCAGGCAGACAGATACTGGATGCAAAACATACCGGCGCGGATAATTGACGGCCTCGTCATTCTCAAGTCTGTGGCCCCGAGAACCTGGTGCTGATGCGCCTGGTGGCACGGCGGACTGTGTTCCAAACGATGTCGAAAGATCGAGGGACAAAAGGGCAGCGACCAGGAAAAGACGAAAGGGAGGCCGACGTTGGGAGCCCGGCGGGCCAGAGACTAACTAGTCTCTCTGGTCTGGTATTGTAAGACGGGGCGGGGGGGCAATGGGCGATGGACGATGCAACGGCCATGCAAGAAAAGAAGAAGCGTTGCCGTCGGTGCAGCTTGGCAGATGCTGGTGCCAATGCCGATGTTGATGTCGATGCCGATGCCGATGCCAATTCCAATGCTGATGATGCTGATGCTGATGATGCCAGTGCTGACCCCAATGCTGATGCTGATTGCTGATGTTGATGCTGATGCTAATCGCCGGAAACATGAAGCGAGATTTGAGACCGGCACAGCCTTGACATTGCTGCGCAGCGCAGCCTGGGGCGGACGGGCGGGCGGATGGCAGGCGGAGGGTTGGGTAGGGGTTAGGGGGTAGGGGGTAGGGGGGTTTTGGGTTTGGGCTTGGAACTTGGAGACCGACGCTTGTCAGGTCCAGGGGCGCAGGCTCAACATTGACAGACGCAGGCGTCGATGCCATGGTCAACCAACAGACTTGCCGGAAGCCGGCGGAGCGCCGTGAGGTAGGTGCATCGCATCGCATTAGACCAAGGCGAGCGAATGCCACAGAGTAGGATTGCACTGCAAAATATCCGACAGCTGTGCGCCCGTGACAACAGCGGGAGACGTGTCAGTAATGAGTAGCCTCGAGTTGGACGACTGACGTACTCCGTACGTTGCGAGGAGAGGCCACCGCCCCGTACGCCGCACTCGGACGCGCCAGTTGCACGCACACGTGCATGTCACTCCCTACTCCCGTTACAGGTCTGGCATTAATCAGTGCTCTGCACGTGGCTGGAGGTGCATAACACAATAAAACGATGCATGTACGGGGTGCATGTCGCTCCATACTCATTCATGCGCTTACAATCCGCGTCCCGGCTGCTGCAATGCAGCGGCATCCCAGCATCCCAGCAACCATACTTACTTCATAGCACCTACTACTCCGGACTACGGAGTACTACTACTACTACTACTACTCCGTACTACCACCTACTTAAGTACTTGTGTACCCACTCCAGAGTCCAGAGCACCAAGGACGTGCATACAATAACTACATCATTGTTTAAATCCCCCCAGCCCAGCCGTCTTTGTCACCGGCGTACGGAGCACTCCGTATTCGAGCCCAACCCAGCCACATCGTCCACCGTGCCACCACTGGCCCGCCATCTCCCGTGGCTTATTCTCCGAGGCCTCAACCTACTTAAGTACGGTGGCAGTCCGGGCAATCCGAGTACAGCATCCGCCCAGGTCACCATCCTTTCCCGATATCCCTTCACCATGAACCTTGTAGGTCCGAAACATCCGATAAACATATCGACATTATAGTATATCTGATGGCCACCATGTCCCTCGGCCTATCGTAGTCTTGTTTCACTTCACTACACTTGGCCTTTCCTCCTTCTAGTTCATCTTGTCCAAGCTATTCCCCAGACTCGATGCTTAACAATATTCAAAACATATAAACTCGCAATAATTTTTTTTGTAAACAAAGATAAAACCCATGGTGCACCTTGCCAATGCCACTTTGTATCTCCACGTTGTACATTATTCTTGTGTCTTATAAAACACACCCCCGAAATCAAATTCCACTCATCCTCACTCTGGCCTGAGATGTCTCCAATAGGCGTCTTGCGGTGAATCGACCCCGAGGATTCGTTCGGTACGTTACAAAGCAGCGTGTCCGTTGATAGACATGCGTCTTACCTGCTCGGCACCGTCTGGATGGCCCGTAAGCCGCGCCATACGCTTCGACATGCTGCAATGCTATTAGCAAACAAGTTTTTCCAGACAATATGCCATGTTTCCAGTGAAAGTGGCATTTACTTACAAGTCAAAGAAGGCGAATTGGCTAGGCTCGCTGCCAAACTCATACACGAAACGACTGGCCAAGAAGCTGCCGAAAATGGCTCTCAAGTAAGTCTCGGGTACGCGAGAAATGATGGTCTCCAAGCCAATCTTTTGCAGGAGCAAGTTGGGCAAGGCGTCGCCCAAAACTGCTTGACGGATCTTCCCATTCTTCCACAAATCAGATTGCTGAAGCTCCTCGTCCAGGGTAGTGATGGCATTGGATAGCTTGTCTGAGAGAATAGAGCGAGGCACGCCGGTGGCTTCATGTTCGCGCCAGATGGCCTCAAACTCGAGGCGGGCGTTTTCGCGGATCTTGGCCTGCACTTCACTGACATAATCATTATAGAACTGCGGTGCCTGGCCAGTCCTGGCGTCTACACACATGTTCTCGACGAAACCCGCATCATCGAACGAAAGAGACGCGAGAACTTCGAGTGAGGAAGAAGTGACACCACCCTTGTTCGCGGAGGCGTCCTTATAAAGGATGCAGCCAGCAGCCTCGAGCCTCAGCTTGGCATCCTGCGTGATAAAAAGGTTGGCACCCTCCACAATATATGGGATAGTCGACTTTCCATCCTTGATCAGTCTGCTGACGGAGATGAGGTCAATAGACTCGGGTCGACCACCGCAGGGAACGAAAACATCCGTCATTCCTGTGTCACGAAGATGGTACGTGTTTCTGAAGGAGGTGCCGTTGGTGACGACTTCGCCCGTAGGGAGGGCAATATTGGTATCCTCGCAAAGAACGCGGTAGCCGTCCTTGGACACCTTGGTCATGTCGTACTCGCTGATCATCGCACGCTTCTTAGCCAAACGAACAAGCTCATCCTGATCGAGGCCATTGGGGTCGGCGATGACACCAGAGCCGTCAACAATAGCGGTCCATTTCTCGTTGCCGAGAAGGATCTCGTTACTGCCCAAGTCACCATCCGGACCACCAGTCTGCATCTTGCGAACAGTAGCAGGATCGAGTTCGAGCTTCCTGTAGATGCCCTTGACGTACTCACGGACAGAGAGTGTGGTCATGCCATACTTGTCGTGAGGAATACCCCCAAGCTTCTGCGCCTTGCCAGTGAAGAAAGACTTCCACCAAGGAGCACCTCGGGCTCTGGCATGCTCGGTGGCCCAATTGACTAGATCGGCCGTGTTCTCATCAGGGCCCATGAACAGAATTTCTTCCTTTCCGTAGAGATCTACGAGCTTGTTCTTGATGCCCGGCGTCTGAGCCGGCAGCAGGAGATCAAGAATACTATCAATGTATTTCTCGAAAGCCTCCTGCGCGCGGTCTTGCTGCTTGGGGTCGAGAAGAATGACACCCTTGGATCCACCCTCGGGAATATCCTTGTTCTTTCGCTGCTGGGTTGATGCCAAGCCATAATTCTCATCGAACAAGTTGCGAGCGTTGATGGCGTAGGCTTCCTTGCTTCTAGACTTGACAATACGGATACCGCCACGTGAAATATCTCGGAAACGGAGGTGGAAACCACGCGACTCAGCCCCTATCACAAGGAACATGCCATACAGACGGCGAGGATACTCCACCTCGGGCAGGAAAGCAGGATCCAAGCGGAAGCTTAGAGCAACCTTAGTAGGGGTGAAGTAGTTGGTCTTGAGGATGGCGTTGTTGAAAACGCGGAAGGCAGTCATGACCATCTCATCATGCTCGTTCGCAACCGTCTTGGATATCTTGTCCTTGAGTTTCTCATCACTAAGAATGTCCACGGCAGGTGTAACGGCGACCTGCTCGTTCTTGGCGCCCAGATGGACGTTGGCAAATGATGCATAGAGGAGCCTGACCAGCTCTGGGTACGTCTGAATAATTTCGAGAATGTAATCTGGGGTGAAAGTTTCAGTTCGCAGACGACGCTTCAACTTGGAAAGCAGAGCAGCCTGGGCTGGGTCGTCCATATCCAGCACTTCGGATAAGGACGCATATTCGGGACCAAGTCGGTTCAAAAAGTGTTGTACGAAGACCCAAACAGAGTGAGCATAGACAGCCTCCTGGAGACTAAGGGCTCCAATCGCAAACAGATTGTGGAACTTGTTTTGGGGCAAGCAATACAGAAGTGAGATCTCTTTGGTGATTTGGTGAATAGACTCGTCCAGAGGAGGAAAGTAGCCATCAGTATGAGATGACGGCTTGAGATAAATGCTCATCACGGTGATGCCATTCGAGAACTGCTCCACGTATTTTCTGGAACTGGTCACGCCGTAGTAGTGGTAAAGATCGCTGAGGGCAGAGAACATGCCGCGAGCGGTTCTTGTTCGGAAGGCAACAACTAGTCGCTTCTCGGCGACGTCCTCAATATCAAAGACCTCGATGACGGGTCCCGTTCGGTTGACAGCGAGTTCAATAATCTCCTGGTAAATCTGCTTGGTGTTTTCGGTGGCCTTTTGCCAGAAGCCAGCATCCGAAATACGTTCTATGTTGGTCTCCTGGGGATCCGTGTCCTTGGGGCTTTGAGAGAACTGACACTGGTAGACAAAATAGCATCGTAATGTCGCTTTTGATGACGGACTTGCGCCAATGACAGCTGGGGAGCGAAAGGTCTCTACACGGTATTTCGTCTTTCCCTGGTGATCAAGGTACTTGGCCTCAAGGCGAGACTCGTATCTGGGTCCACCAACGTTGCTCTCGCCCGGTTCACTTGTGTCAATGTAGATGGCATGATCATTTGCCTCCATGTCCAGGCGAATCTCCTCCTTCTTGTCCTCTCGGGAATAAGCTGCCACCTTGGCAGCGTAAAGGGAACTTATGTGGTTGGCGATGGCATCTGGGGTCTCGATGCGGAAGTAAACATCGTCAATGCCCAACTGCTCATAGAACCACTTAATCTGTTCATCAATCAGGGTTTCTGGGATGAAGCCAGCCTGCTGCAGGATTTTCTTGACAGAGCTCATCTGCTCGAGCTTCCCAGCGAACTCCGGAGCGACATAGCCAACCGTGGCAGAGCGCAGAGTCCGATTGCCATTGCCGTTTGTAAGCGGCGAATATGGGAGGCTGACGTGAGTGGGTTGGGGAGAAGGTTTGCGGCTGGATTCTTCAGACTGAACTTCCGCCAAGATCTTGGACTTGAGTAGTGACGCCGCCATTTTGTTCTGCAGCTGTGTGTATATTTATCGTGCTTCAAGTTATCTGCAGAATATCTACAAGACGAAAAATTAGCAGGCTGTAGTTATGCCACCGGTATGTTTCACGCATCTACTTGATTGAGGGCTTGAAACAAACTAGGGCAGACGGCGCGACACCAATATCTACCCAGCTTCTCGAGGGACTCTAGCAGCTTGCCAAGAAATCGAAGAATGATATGAATGGAGTGAATCAGGGCTTGAAAACAATGACAACATTGTCTCTTGATCCAGTCAAGAAGTGTCGCAAGAAAACATCTTGTGCATACTGGAGACTCATTGGGTGGAGAGGCCGATTTTCAGGTAGGTAGAGCGCAGTCGGAACTTGCCTTGAATGTATTCAGAATTCCCGCCTTCTGTCGTAAAATGAATATTCGGTCAATCAAAATAGCTCTATTCCGGACGATTTATAAATTCTAGTTCGCAACCTGTATACAATGATCCTGAAGGGAGTTGCTTGTTTCGACGACCGCCGCTATGCAAGTCGGGATGTGATGGTGAAGTGTTTGTGGTGGGGCGAATGTTGAGCCGGAGCGTGACAGCAGCGAAATTCCGTCGAGGCGAAAACCTGCGAGTCTCAGGGGCGGCTGTTGCGTTTGACGGGAAATGGAGGAGGCAATCAACTTCGAGATAGGCCGGCTACCTGGAAAATTAGTACAGCGATTCTAGCTAGCGCAAGGACCCTTCTAGAGGTCGCGAGGACAATCAAGGCTGAACGACCCCAAAGCGGCTCAACACTCTTCCAAGGGTCTATACTGTCTGGATCTGGATACGACTGGGACCGGTTGCAAGTGGTCCCAACAAGGAATTTGTATCGGGACAGCGCGACTCACAACTATTTTTGAACTGAAGATGCCCGGCCAGAAACAGAGAGAGGCGCAGGCAAGGAATCGAGGTGATTGATTGGCTTTGGAACGGAAGCTGAAGATGACAAAGGCAACGGGAGACCTCCTAGTCAGAATGACGTGCAGGTAGGTAGGGCTGGCAGGGAGGAAGAATGTGAGACAGCGAGGCAGCTTGTTGATGCCAGTTGGCAAAGAGTCAAAGGTCTGATGTTCACCATGAGCCAGCACACGGCGAAACCGAAGCATGAAACGCCAGGCGTCGGCGCCTTTAAGTATGATTTGGAGCTAGAGCTCCACGACAAAGGTCGAGAAAGGGCGGCGTCGTGCTCAATCCAAGGCCTCATCTTTGCATCATCTGCTGACTGGGCTTTTGCACGGCAACCAAGCCGGTATCAGCGAACCTGTGGCAAGTACACACCTCGTACCTGCCGCGCCCCTCGTGGGGTGGGCCGAGAAAGCGCGACGGGGAGGAAGGAGGGGCCCAGACTGCTCCCCATCCCCCGGTTGCGTAAGTAAGTACCTGCCCGGGTCCAGGGAGGTACCTACAAGTAGGTAGGTACTTACTTAGACCTGCCTATAGGTATGTGCATGTAAGGAGTAGATGGAGTGTGGGCACCGTGCGACGGGCGCTGGTCTCGAGATGCAAGGTTTCAAATTCTATTGATGGAGCGATTGTGTTGTTGTCAAGTTCCAACATGGGGAATGTTGCCGGGCATTTCAGGTACCCTCGTTGCCCCGGCGCACCCATGTGCTAGCATCCCACGGGTGGCCGCTTGCTGAGGACGGCGCCGCTGGCTCACCCCCGGCTCGCCATCGGACTGGACATCCGCCCTCTCCGGGTAGTTGCCAGTCAGCAGCTGACACTGACACCAGACATAGCCTTGTTCGTGTTTTCGTTCAGACCCAGCGACTACTGTGACACACAGACTAGGTACCCCGTATTGCTTGATGTACTCGGGAACCCAACGTCGACTCGTCGCTCCTGTGACGGCCAAGAGCCGCAACGCTGATGAATTCCAGCTCCCCGCATTTCACAACACAGGCCGTCTCGCGCTCGGTCTTGCTGATAGCAGGTATTGAATTGTTATTAACAGGAAGACAGCCTACGTGCTGACAATCTCTCCAAAGAAAGGGTGTAGTACGTGCCTGTCTCCCGGCGTCGCAAAAGGACAATGCCCCGCAGGTGCGGGCGAGGGGTACCAATGACTAATTTCATTTATTTTTTTTTTAAAAAAAAAAATTCCGTCTTGATGCCGCAACTCGTAACGTGGGAAACCTTCACGCCCTCTGGCGGCTGAACCGCCGCCGTCCATCACTGTCGGTCAAGCACGCCCGATCGTGATCACGACCTCAACCGACTTGGGGCCACGTTCAAGCGACAGCAAGGGCGACGGGGCTCGGCGGCCGCCCCAGCCTGCGCTCGTCACCAATCTCTACATGCCAATTTGACACTAGACTTTACCAGGAAGTTGGGCGTGGTCCAGGTGGCCGGTTCCTGGCCGCTCAGGTGTCAGGAACCAACATTGTTGGCCCGTGGCATTGTGGCCCAGCACCAGCATGACTTGTCCACCGTCCCACGCCCCTCAGTGGGGAAGGTCTAGGGAGGCGGCATCTGGACTAGTAGTCGTATTATTACAAGCACGTCCTCACTCATTGCTCACGTCAATGAGGTCACAGTTACTTCAGCGCCGACGGGTTGTACAGTCTATTATACCAAGTACTCCTTCGTACCCAGCCAGTTTTTCAGATGCGTACTTACACGCCTAGGCACGGAGAACCTACACAGGTAAGGAAGCGCTGCAAACCAACAGGTGCTGGCCAGGGGTGAAAGCGAGTGCTGGCGTTCCGGCGTCGATGGAACGGCTATTCGAGGCTTGGGGGACCTTTTTCCTTGACGACTTCTCTCCATGCTTCTGCTGGGCTTCTTTTTGAAGAGCCTTACGCGACGTCGTGGGGACGGCTAAGCCTGATCGGTGCCCTTGCCCCACTCGTATGGTCCCGTACTTGAGTGCTTGGGTACTAGTAGCTGACCGTTGCCCAGTCTCGCGAATCCAGGATGCATCAGCAGACTTATCAGAGATTTCTCTGGCGCATTCTTGGCCGCCCCAGATGGCTGTGGCGTTCTGTCCCCAAGCTCGCCATCCCTCCGGTCCAAACTGCAACTACGTCCTCTGTACGGAGTAGGGATGCATGCCAACGTGGGTCGTGACAACCTTGATGCATTGGAAAACTTGTGCCTGTAAATATCACAGCATGTCAAACTGATTCAAAGTTTCCATCTATTTGCCGAGATTTCAACACGTTCACACTGCACACAAAACACTAGTAGAACCAAGCCATGTAGCTTGTCACGGGTAGCACCAGACTGTTCGATTCGTCATCGCCAGGATTTCGTGCCCAAGAAGCGGCATCAATCAAGCAAAGCCAAACAGAGGATCATCAACACAGCACTCGCGGGGCATTCACACAAGACATGTTTAACCGTCAAATTGAGGTGCCCCCAGCCCGGTCCTGACCATAATGTATAAGTCACGACAGAGGTATATGTCACGCAACTCAACTCGGGGCCGAGGGCGTTCTAGATCACTGGTGAAGACAAGAAGACACCGGTTCACGTCGCGTCTTTGCAACGGATCATCTGCCACACACATGGACCGTATGGGAAGTTGACGGCCTCGTCACTCTACATGCCACAGCAGACAAAGTCGAGTCGTCTTTTAGGGGACTAGATTTTTGCAGATGGCGTGCACGGTCAATTTTACGAGGCGGCCAATTCGCCCTCTTGTGTGCCTTGTTTCCCGCTCTATTCGGCGACGAGGTTCCGCCAAAGTCCATGTCTCGTCTCAGCCATCGGCCAGTCCAGGACCAAAAAGCGAGCATTTCGGGTTGCAGCGTTCCCCAATTCTCCCCTCTCTTCCGTGGCCAATTCCGAGACAAAGAGAGCCGCCACCTCTCGAGAGCGTTGACGGCGGGACACGGCGGGGCGTCGGAGGCGGCGAGGGACGGCGCGGGGAACGGAGACGGATCGCCGTTTGGCGGCAGGGCAAGGCACATGCATAGATGCGTATTTTCGCTCGTCACTCGCATTTGAACCTGCCTCGTTGGGAACCGAAACCGGCCACGAACAGGTGCCTAGGCAGTCGTTCAAAGCCCGCACAGGTATTGCGGAGCACCTGATGTGGTTGCTGAAGAGGCGCATGCGTCGCAGTAGCACTCCTGAACTGTTCCTCGTCGGCACGGTCGAGCACGACATTACGCGGCACTTGTAGAAAACGACGGGTGAGCGCGTCCGAATTCTATTGCACAGTGCCAACTGGGCATGAGCAGGGTTTCCATGTGGACTTGATTCGACGGCTATTTGGTCCACGTTCCACGTTCCGCGTTCCGCGTCCCCCAAGTCCATTGGCAGCGCTCCAAACCCGCCTGGACAATGGCAGTGGTGGCGCAGCAGCCATTCGGTCGGGGCCCACCTTCGGCGGCCCGCCGGAGGGCGAGGAGCGCGTGGGAGAGGATGAAGTGGTTGGTGACGGTCCACACGCCGCGGCGAAACTGGAGCCACACCGGACCAGAACCAGGTCCGCCAGAACCGACGGCCGGCACGCCCGGAGGCAGTTGGCAGGCTGCTCAAGACGTCGAGACAAGACAAGCATTCGAGGTTCCAGGCGGCAGGCGGCAGGCGGCAGGCCAGCGACGCAGGGTGGAAAGTGACACAGCTGGACACCATGGCAGAGTCCAAAAATCCAACTGCCGCGCATGGTGAGCCCGGGGATTGCGCAGGCCGGTGCCTCGTGCGCCGGCTGGACGGAGCCATTCCCGGTTTTCATTACTCCCAGCTTTCTCCATCCCTACCAGTTGACGTTTCCATTACCCCCGTTTTACTTGGGCAGCTCACGGTCCGCCTGGAACGACTCGCCCTGGCCTATCAAGACGCCGCCTGAGCACCTGCAGTGCCACCTGGGAGTCTGGGACTCAAGTCTGGTGCGTCGTCCGTCTTACGCCCCCAGCAGCCGGTGAACGGTGCTCCCTGCACGCCCTCGCCGCCGCCGCCGCCGCCGCCGCCGCCTCCTCCTTCTCCGGATATGGTTCGTTGCCGACAAGCGTCGACCATGGTCAACACTGATCTCTTCAATCTGTAGCAATCTTCAGGGCGCACGTCACAGGGATGGATATGCAGGCGCTCACTTGATCAGCGAGTCCGCGACGGTCTGTCTGGTCTCATGATCCCTTGACATGTCTTGTAGGTTCGAAGTCGGGAAAACTAGGCTGTGGCTTTTCCGTTATGCGGTGATGGTGCACTGCACCTAAAAAACATGGGGATAGTCACTTTGTTCCAACGCGTGTGAAGTGTGAAGACGGAGCATCTCGATGCAGTGATTCCCGTCGGCGTCTGTGGATATTGCGCCATTTCACCATGGCCCGGCCCGGGGAACACGTCGCGCTGTTGTGATATCTGATGCCCGGTCTATCGAATAGACTCACCTCTTGCCACACATACATGACCGCCGCCGCCGGGAACAAACAAGCTTGTAAGTTGTGGGCGATTCACAGCGTACACGTTGATGCTCGCATGCCCTTGTTTCTGGCGGCGGCAATCGTGCTTGCCGGGTTTGCAGTCTGCACTGCGACATGCTGCCATCGGCAGAACGTCCCTGCCACTGGCCTCAGGTTGGAGAAGGAGTCGGCACCCGCCTGGTGCTTGCGGAGACGGTACGGAGTGCAATGCGGCAATGCGGCAACGCGGCAATGCGGTTCGCCCGACGACGACGACGACGACTGAGCCCCACCACATGGGCATCGATCAAGTCATGTCCTTTGCCCGAGAACAGCCAGGCAAGCAGAGAAGCAAGGGGTGCCGTCAGCGTCGACTGCATCAACAACCGAGTTCAACATTTAGTTGCTCCGTAGCGTCAAGTCGGTATGCAGAGCAAAAAAACGGCCCTACAATAAATTTGACAAGAAAAGGGCAAGGGGGCGACTGTTGCTTTTCCGCACTCGGCGCCGACGCTGATCACGAGGACAACAAAAAAAAAAAAAAACACACGCACACGCACAGCTTTTCTTCTTTCCAACCCCCTCCCCCACACCCTAATTTTCCCCTTTGTAAACAAGTCAAAAGTCAAACCCTTGAACAGAGTCCGTGTCTTGCTACTAGTAGTCGTAGCCTTTATGCATCTGCCATCAATTGATGATCCCTGTGCATTGGTCACGATGCCTCACCAACAAAATGCCCCTACTGGGGCCCTGGAGACACGTCTTACGTACAAGCGGCCAAGTCGATTCGACGAGCCCCAAGCACCTCATCACCAGGTTTCGTTTCGCACGTAGCCCACTGGCCAACCGGCCAACATGGGCATCAAGGCTGAACGGAACGGCTAAGCGGCTGCGAAATATGCACCGCGTGCCAGGGTTTTTGGCGCTTTCTTTTATTTTCGTCTTGTGTTGCTGTTGCTGCATGTATAGGTGCAGGTGTGTACCTTGCGTACTTGAGGTACGGAACACCTACTTGAGTACCTACTTGAGTACTTGTGGGGCCAGAGGGTCGTGGTGTATTTCAAGAAGTACTCAGGTACGGAGTGCCTACCAGACCCGGGGACCCGACTCAAGCTTTTCTTTTCTGCCCGCCTCCAGCGAGCGGCGCTCGAGTGCACTTGACTGTACAGCGGCACTCTGGGATCAGTAGTGCTGAGCGTACAGAGTACTGCTCCTCACTTCAGGTGCTTGAGTACTTAAGTACCTCTTAAGTACATGCTTGGACCCAAGCAAGTACGCAGAGGCGCCTGCACATGTGGGCACCCTGTCATGCTCAAGTAATAATTAGTACTATAGCGTTCCCAGCGCCTCACTCATCCTTGCAACTGGCCGCTGCGACATGCCCTTCTCGGCTTCAATGTTGTCTGTCAACCCTGTGCATTGTTTTGAGTCCAGCCATGACTGTTCAGAACTAGATCGAGGCCCTCCTCCCCCAGCTCAAACCGGGATTTCTCTGGCGGGATGCCGACAGACGGACGGACGGACGGATGGATGGATGCTATTTTTGCACGCTGAGTAAACACCGAGTGAGCCTTGGTCCACGTCGAGTGCGCGAGTCGTGACTTGGACTTGGCGACTTCAGGCCTCGCTCATGTTGTGTGACTCCGGCAATGACAGTTGCTTGCATTCGGAGGTTGCATTTCCACTGCTATTGCATGCCCCTGCTCCGTAACGAGTACACGTATGTGTGCATGTGCGACTCTGTAGTGAAACGTCGATTGAATGGCAGGTTCCCGAACGGCATTCTTCTTGTCGATTGCACCTGGGCAAATGGGGTCATGACATTCAACGTCTCCAGCCACCTGCAGAGCTGCCGTGCAGAAGAGATGAATGATTGATTGATGACCTGCCAACCTGAGGAACATCCCAGGGCCGGGCGGCAGAAGTACGGACACGGGGTATCGAGTACCGAGTACTAAATAAGTTGAGCGAGTAACTACTCCGCGCATACTTGGAATTCCGAAAGTCCATGCTGGATTTTTGAATTCTGCACTCGGCTCCCGCTCATCATGCCGGCCACCCACGCTGTCGGGGAGAAAGTATGGCTTTTTTTGCTTTTCGTTTCGTTCCTTTTCTTGTTTGTCCTGCTCTTCTGTCGTGCATTTGCATTTGGAATTTGCCAACTGTGTACCAGATAGCTAGCTAGTACTTACCCAAGCAGGTACCTAGGCAGCCATCATGCCGCATCAGACGCCTCATTGTGCGCGCCGTCCACCTCCCATGCTGCCATTTCCTCGCGTGAGCATTGTTCCCCCGTCACATAATTATGCCCTCTGATTTCTCGAGTCGAAGAAAGTCTAGCGCGCACAGAAACACGACCCCGATTTCTCACCGGCCACGCCGCCATGCCGTTTTGATGGCCTCCAGCCATTCCGCCCACGAATTGGCTCCATTGCGCCCTCGACGCCCAGCATCGAGACCTTGGGACCAAATTACGCCACGGCAATCAATCCTGCGTCGCCCTCCGTATGCTCCCGCGTGAAAGTCGACTCGACACGTCGTTGTCAGTGGTCACGATGCCTTCACGGCCGGCAGGTGACAGCTCACAGGGTGCGTGATTCGGCGTCCGCAAACGAGGCCGTCTTCGCACTCATCCAAGGGAATCCAAATCCAGTCTCCAGAAACACACTCCGCCGACATTGTGCTCATTCCGTCTTGCCACCACGGAGAGGCCACGTGCCCTGTCGTGCTCGCTTCGGCCGCTCCAAACTGGGCTATGCGAAATTATCCAGTCTCTCATTCGTGCCCGACGATGCCAACTCGTGGGGTCCAAGGGCAACAGGAAGTAGTTGATGACTTTTGCAATGTACTCGACTCGTACTTTCATGTCCACGACGAGTACTCTTTGTTCATGGTCTTCTTCTTCTTCTTATTATTCTTTTTTTTTTTTTGGCTCTTTTACTTGGTCAGAGTCGGCCTTTGTTTTACACTATCCATACACCCACCCTTGGTCCAGGCGATCGAGCCCTTTCCTCCTGGACCCAACGACGACGCATTGCAAACCACGTGACTATGCGCAGACCGTCTGGCAATTCCATAGCACGATTCCCGTTCGTTCACTCTTGCTCGTCGGCTTTGATCGCATACACGCACTGTGGGACGATATGACTTCGCAAATACTGTCCCCAACATGTGTGAAGTATAGGCCTCATCGACCTCCTTCCACGCCAACCTTGGCTCAACGCAGCGCAATAGTACCACGCGAACTAGCGCGCAATTCTTGTAAGAAACGCCGTCGGTGCTGCTAGTTTGTTACCTGGACAGACAATCCCTTGCTTGTATATCCAATGACTTGAGTCGTGATCCGGGCTAATGGTTAAGCAGGCCGCGAGTACGTGATTGAGATTGCATACCATATCCTCATTGGCCTGGTGGTGCTCACGGCCCTTGTGACCAACGAGGCTTCTATACAACCACTAAAAGTATGAGTCTCGAAAGACAGACAAACGGTATACTCGCCGCACATCAAAGTGGCTCCTGGCTACATCTTTTCCCCGCTCTGCAAAGGATTTACATTGAAGCTACATTAGTGAATTCGAGTTCTGTTTGTATGATGTTGATTGCAAATCTGTCCATCTCGTTTCAATTGCATTCACTTTCGAAAGAATGGTCTAGTTCCCACCAACTTATCGATGCCTAAAAATGCCGTGGAGAGCCAATCAGGTCAGAGGATTTGTCTGTGAAACATGAGCCGGACAAAATATACAACATGCACAGAGGACTAGAGCCGCCTTCCTCTATCGCAACTTGAGCGCCATGGTGAAAGACCGACACAAATGAGACTACCAACTTCACAATAGACCAAGTGCTCGCCTGTAACGTCTGGTTAGTTTGGCCTTGACAGTCGTATCACGTATGTAACTTATGTCTGCTGTCTCCTGAGTCCTAACTCTAGTGTGGATCCCAGCACGTGATGTCTCGGTTCCTCGACGTTTTCAACATGGGACGAGCTCCCCCCCCTGTTAGGTCGGTCGGCTATGAGCAGCCAGCTCCGAGCCAAAAATTTTAGAGTACCGAGTTCTATCGTGACGCACTTCTCCTAATCTACCACCACTCGCCCACATCGCTCAAACATCAGCAGACAGCCCGCATCATATCGAAGCTGCCAACGCGGTCCCTTCTCAGCAGCTGTGTGTTATTGTATTTTACTTCCACTGTATATCTTTCAGGCGCTGCTTGCGTTATAATCACCCCCAGCCTCGGACGGGGTCATCTCGCAGTACACGGACGGTGCTCAAGCTTCCACGACGACGCACAATCTTGCCTGTAAACTCTAGGGTTATCCAAAATGGTTACTCTTACCGAAGTCGAGGACGAGCACTTCCAGTCCACTCAGGCTGGCCCTGATGTTGATGACGACGACTTCACTGACACCGGTTCGTTACCGTTGACTGCCCCGTATCCCACCACAAGATTGGCGAGGAGGCATTTTTGGCTGACAAGCGCTCCAGATTCCGAAATCTCCAATGAATCAGACTATGACCCCGCGAACGAAACCCTTGCAGAACGCCTATACGCACTTCGAGACATGGTCCCCCCGACAACGAGAGGTTGGATCGCCAGCCGTGTCAATTCCATCTCTAGCAAGGCTTGGAGCGTACTGTCATTCAGTGGCAAGGGTGCTTGGGTTATCACCACCTCTGCCCTGTTCTTCGGCGTACCCTTCGCTCTGTCCTTTGCTGAGGACCAGCAACTCACTGCCATGGAGCAGGAGTACAACATGCGACAAACCGGTGGCGAGCTGCTGACCGCCGGCGCCGAGCAGAACACTGCCGACAAAGTCGGGGCCGCCCTTGGCGACGGCCACGCTAAGCCGTCGCTGTAGAATTAGCATTATAATTGGATTATGCCGGAATTTCTTGGGCCATGTGCGCCCGGCGACAATCACCACGAGCCACCTCTATAAGACAAAGTTGATGGCGCCCTTTTCTGTACAATAGACACTTTGTCGTGACGAAGGCTGGAAGCTTCGCGTCTTTTTTTGATGGAACAGAAACGACTAGGAATCCTGGACTAGCAATAAAAATACGAATCGGGGCGGGAAATGAAAACAGGGAGAGGAGAGCCACGCGGGAGTGATTTTTTTACTTTTTGTTTTTCATCTCATCTCCTATCACGGGCCGGTTCGCATGTATTTTTTCACTTGACCTTAGACTTTGATTATTTGACTTGTTCAATGTGAATGAATATGAAGCTTGACAGCTTCGCCTGATCGCCTGGGAACTTTTGTGCCTGCAAGGATGTAGGGTAGCATCGACCCGGGCGGAGTTTACAGCAAAGGAGTCTCTCTCTGTAGTTGCATCAGCGAACTTATCGACATTACTTGCAAACCGCCTCGTGTGAGCAGCGAGCGTGAAACGCGAGTTCGTTCCGCCATGGACTACGTGTCATTGCCAAAAATTGAGGTAAAGTTGCACGAATACCTAGATAGGTAGGTAGGGACGTGGCAACAGCCCGGTTGGCGCTGACCTTTGAATCTTGGACGACAGCTACATGCCCACCTCACTGGAAGTGTATCCCGCCTTACATCGCACGAGATATGGAAAAGGAAGAAAGCCGCAGGCCAAACTGATCTCCAGGACCCGCAGGTGGTCATGCCCGAGGGCAAACATGACTACAATCTCCAGACGTGAGTGACTTCTCGCCAACGCTCCACGGCAAGGCCCAGAGCACCATTGATGGGGACAGGCCGATAGAGCAGATGGCGAATTGCAAAAGATGTTGCGCTGCGTGCAGTACGACGGCCGGAACACGACCGACACGGGTCGTGTTACCTGGCTTGAATGTGCGTGCTGTGTGTGGTGTGGTCGTCTGGCTCGTCGGGACTCGCAAGCTGTGGTGTGAAACTGACTGAGAAGCCGGCAGTTTCTTCCCCCTCTTCAGCAGCTTCATCTACAATCTCCTCACGGACGAGGAGTCGGTTCGCTACGCCGTAAACAGCGTGCTACAGGACTTCCTGGCCGACGGCGTTGTGTACCTGGAGCTGCGGACCACGCCGCGGTCCTCGGCCACCATGTCTGCGGAGGGCTACATCGCAACCATTCTCGCTGCGATTGAAGAGTTTGAAGCGTCACACCCCCGGCTGCACACTCGTCTGATATTGTCCATTGATCGCCGCCATTCCAGGCAAACGGCAGAATCCATCCTTGACCTCGCAATCCGTCTGCGAGACACACAAGGGTGTGGCGTCGTCGGCATCGACTTGTGCGGAGATCCCACTGCGCGTCCGGGGGGCGACGTTGCCGTGTTTACTCCCGTCTTTGAGCGAGCCTCGAGCGCCGGGCTGGCAATCACGCTCCATTTTGCAGAAGCAGAGGCCAGTGCATCGCGCGACGAGCTCCGCACGCTGCTCTCCTGGGATCCCCGCCGGCTGGGACATGTAATATGGGAGGACGAAGAAGCCAGGAAGCTGATTGCAGAGAGGGGACTGTGCTTGGAGCTCTGCCTGAGTTGCAATGTGCAGGCGGGCATGGTTCACGGGGGGTTTGAGGGCCACCACTTCGGGCATTGGAAGGACGTCAAGGGCCCCAAGATCTCGCTGGCGGTAAGTCTTGTCGTTGTCGTCTCCATGTCTACGTACGGGGTTGGTTCTTCTGCAAGCAGAGAGGCAGCCCGGCAGTACATGGATTTGTTCTCGGGAGATACTGACAAGGGCCTACGCAAACAAGACGGACGATGTAGGCGTGTTTGGAAGCCCCCTTTCGAACGAATACCGACTCGTGGCCAAACATTTCCATCTGGACCGTTTCCAAGTGTGCGCCTTGGCTAGGCAGGGAATCGAGGGCATCTTTGGTGGCGAGAAGGAACAAGAGCGATTGCGGGATATAATGTGGACGGAGTAAATACGGCAAAGGTAGACACGTAGAGGACACAAAATACTAGTCGCAGCGTCTGATGCTGGATGGATGGTCCATGGACTCGATGCCGTCTGCATTGCTCAATCAAGGCTGCAATTCTTACCCAAGTACGTACGGGGTAGCGCGCCATGACAACTCGTCCCACTGTGGCACGGTGGTGGCACCCACACAGCACCTTGAAGCCCCCCCCTACCCCCCCGCGGCTGCCAAGCAAACCAGCCGGGCGTGTCAACCCTGGCTTTGCCGCCGCAATGCACCTCACCAAGCTAGGAGGAACAGCGGCGACAACCACATGTGCTCCCCTTCCTTGATCTCGCCCAGGCAACCTTCATGTCGACCGGGCGTATACGTGACACATCTCGCGGGAGTTTTCCTTGTTCTTTTCTTTTCTTACTTTGCGTCAAGCTGGCAGCCTCTGAAGTTGACTTGTCCCTGCGGGAACGGGAACCATGAATGTGCGTCAAACACCCGCTGCTCGCCAACGACGGACAAGGTCAAAGCAGGAGAATACGTGGCTAACCAGGCGCCCTACAGATCCTCGAATGGGCCTTTGGGAAGCGCATGACGCCGGCTGAGCGTCTGCGCAAGAACCAGCGAATGCTCGACAAGGCGATCCGAGAGCTCGACCAAACGCGCGTCAAGCTGGAGAAGCAGGAGAAGACGCTGATACAGCAGATCAAGACCAGCGCCAAGAACGGGCAGATGGGCGCTTGCAAGATCCAGGCCAAGGACCTGGTCCGCACGAGGCGGTATATCGAGAAGTTCTTTTCGATGCGTAGCCAATTACAAAAGATTTCATTACGACTTCAGGTACGATGAGTGATGCAAATAATACACAATGGGAGGAGAGGTCGGATTTCTTCCCTCCCTTCTTCCCTCCCTTCTTTCCCTTCTCCCCCCCCGGAGGAACAACATGACTGCTGATACGGGGCCGTTTTTGGAAATAGACATACCGAACGAACGAGCAAATGATGCAAGCTATGAAGGGAGCAACCATGGCCTTGGGGAGCATGAATAAATCGATGAACTTACCACAGCTTCAACGAATCGCCATGGAATTTGAACGAGAAAACGACATCATGGAGCAGAGGCAGGAGATGATGGACGACGCCGTCGACGATGCCATGGATGTTGGTGTCGAAGAAGAAGGCGACGAAGTGGTCGAACAAGTCTTGGAAGAAATCGGCATTGACTTCAACCAATCCGTAAGTTCGGACCCTCCCAACGCAGCGCATTTTTACCCCTCGCCGCGTAGACTGACGTACCCGGTAGCTTGGGGAGACGCCGACGGCAATAGGCAATCCTGCCATTGCGGAAGGCAAAGTTGCACAGGCTGTTGGGGGAGGAAGCGGCGGCGACCCTGTTGATGATGACCTTCAAGCCCGACTTGATAGCCTGAAGAAGTAAAGTGGCATGGTTACTACTGTGGGTGGCGGGCGAGACTCCATCTGACGATGCATCTACCTCTTTTTTTTTTTTTTTTTTCTGGACGAGGAGTGAGGCAGAGGTTGGGCGAAATTGTTCACGTATTTTCGCATTTTATTTTCCTCGCCGAGCGTTTTGAGTTTTAGAAAGACGAAAGACGAAAAGCTTTTCGCCGCGTGCCGGCCCGTCTGTCTCAGCGTAGACTCTCGCAGAGCAGTTTGCGGGCTTGGATATATATCTCTTGGTTTCTCGCTGTCGACGGCTCCAGGTGTCCTTGGGTGCGGACGGATGAGTGCGCATGGGTTGCCAAGCCTCTTCTTGGCCAACTGGCCCGGGGTGACGTCGCCCGGATCCCAGATGCAGACGCGGATGCAACGTTGAAAGCGCAGTGGCCAGCACCGATACCAACAGGAACGCGCACAGAGACCAGTTGACCGACTGACATCTGGAGCGCCCCAATGCTCAAGAATAATAAGCAACTCCGCCGTGACAATAAGAACAATCAACCGCTGGATGGGCGTTGCGTGTTGGGCATCCCGGATATCCCAGCCGGCCGCCCGTCCCATGCAGCTTCAATGTTTCAGCCTGCTGTCAACTTGGCCTGGTTGCCTAGAACCCCGCCATCGTCCGTCGTCCGCCACCCGACTTCAGAAGACCAACAAGTGCTCAACTCACAAAGACCCCTCATTTGGCGGTGCCATTTCACTCAACTTTGAGGCCGGGCACCGGTCAGGTCAGGCGCTGTCGTCCGTCTCTCCTGCATCCCATCCAGTCGACCGACCCAATCGACCGACCGATTCACCTGGCCTAGCCTTAGCCTGCCCGACCCGGCCCTCGCGCCCAGACGTCGTTCAAACACACGCCAACCGTGTTTCGCGACACCCACGCACCCCTCGCTCACCACTGCTCCTCAGTTCGTCGACACCGACACCGACACCGCCACCGCCGTCACCAGCGAAGCGCCATCATACATATCACGACGTCTTCGTCCCTTCAGGCTACGGTAGACACGCCGTCGGCCAGTTACCTCGCTGGCATCGCGTCGTAGTTGACCCTTGCTACCCAAGGCACCCATTGACACCGCCGTGGAACCCCCGTCACCGTCACGCCACGACGACGCTGTTCACGCTTGCTGTGCCTGCCTGGCACTCTGGTATGTTTGCATCGCCGCGATTCCACGTCTTTCCCTTTTCTTTCCTCCCCTTTCGGTCCGCCGGTAACTTTCCAATCTTCGTCTCCCCATCGCCAAAACGCGCCTGCGTGCCAATGTGGAATGATCTTGTGCGCGGCGTTTCAGCCAGAGAGCAAACATTCAAACATGATTGCGCAACGTCAATCGAATGCAGCTTGCGAGCATTGATTGCTTGCCTGCTGTCTTTCGCCTGTGCCAGCGGCTGCCCCCCCCGGACGCCTTCTTCTTTTTATTTTTCGTATCTGGCACCTAGAGGCCTCGGCACACTCTGTTGTCGTATTTACCATACCACGCCTGCCACCTCCTCACACCGCATTTACAACATCTCTAACTTCCATCCTAGCCACCACAGCCTCTCCGCACTTTCAGTCGGCATTTCCTACCCAAGTTCCGTCTCCCCGCTGCTGCCGCTCCCACCTGCGGGTGACCAAGTGACCATCTACGGCGACGACGGCAAAGTACCAGACTCGAGCCTTGCTTTCCCTCCCCCCCATAGCCCCGACGAGGATTGTCCTGGGCTCAAGCGTCACACGTTCCTCTCTTGTTACCGTCGTTAAATACTCCAACGGCCCGCGACTGTTTTTTTGACGGCATCCGGGTCTTTGTCACGTTTCCGCTCGGCTCACCTCTGCCCGTCCACGGTCTTTGCCTCACCTCCACAAAGCTGGCAGGCAACAAGCGTCGCAGTCTCTCCTCTCAAGGAGGAAGCCTGCTGAATAGAATGTTTGGCGGGAGTCCCAACTCTCCAACATTCAAGACAGAGAGCGAATCGAAAGCCGAATCAAAGCCTCCTTCGCCCGGCTCAAGTCCCAGCCCCAACCCTCCAGCTCCCGTCAAAACGGCCGTCGCCCAGCCTGCAAGCGGAGAGAAGCGAAGTGGCAATGGCAGCCCCCCCAGCCGCAATGACACTGGCGGTCCTACTGATAAGAAACGAAGGAGCAGCAGTGTCGGGAGCAAAGCGAGCAGCCTCCTCGCGTCGGCCAAGAATACCCTGAACTTCTCCCAGACCGGTCGTGGCAACTCTGATCTGAGTGCCCAGACGCCGTTGCAGAAGCTGGGTAAGCAAGATCCCGCGTTGGCGGTTCCCCAGGGACAGCATAACAACTCCGCCGGTGAATCCGTACCCGGCCCCAGGTCTACATTCCGAGTCGGTGTTTGGGAAGACAGGAACAAAAAATGTCGCCGGACCATGGAGGACACCCACGCCTTCTTGTACAACTTCTTGGCCACTCCTCAGCCCAATAGCGACGCCGCGTCCAAGACCAAGTCCGAGAAGAGTGACGCTGAAGGAACCGGCAAGGACATGTTGGAATCCGACAACGGATACTTCGCCATCTTTGACGGCCATGCTGGCACCTTTGCTGCTGACTGGTGTGGGAAGAAGCTTCATCTTATTCTAGAGGACATTATCCGGAAAAATCCAAATGCGGCTATACCAGAGTTACTAGACCAGACCTTCACCATGGTGGACACACAACTAGAAAAACTCCCACTAAAGAATAGTGGCTGCACGGCTGCCATTGCCGTGTTGCGGTGGGAGGATCGCGTCTCCTGTGAGAGGTCCGTGGCGGGGGTGACGAAATCGGCACCCAAACCAAACGAGGCAAACTTGTCCGAAAAAGACAAGCCATCCGACTCACCGCGCGGCCGTACAGCTCCTGCCTCATCTGCCGACGCTCAGCTGAAGCCCAAGCCATCCACCACGAGGCAACGAATTCTATACACGGCCAACGTCGGCGACGCCCGCATCATCTTGTGTCGTGGCGGCAAGGCGTTGCGGCTGTCATATGACCACAAGGGAAGCGACGAGAATGAGGGCAAGCGGATTGCCAACGCTGGCGGCCTGATTTTGAACAATCGTGTCAATGGCGTGCTGGCAGTCACCCGTGCACTAGGTGACGCATATATGAAGGAGCTTGTCACCGGGCATCCATACACGACAGAAACTGTGATACAAGCCGACACTGACGAATTCATCATAATTGCATGTGATGGGGTGAGTGAAGAGTCCCCGGACGGAGCAGCGGGCTACAGCTGGCTAACTGCAATTTACCTCTTCATAGCTGTGGGATGTTTGTAGCGACCAGGACGCCGTCGATCTAGTCCGGGACGTCCAGGATCCAATCGCTGCGTCAAAACAGCTGGTAGACCACGCGTTGAGCCGATTCAGCACCGACAATCTGTCATGCATGATTGTCCGCTTTGATAAGCCTGTTACGGTGGCTCAGGGCGTGGGTACCACTGAGAGTGAAGGCGAATCGGACCGCGGCGCGGCGCCGAGGGTCAGTGAAGCCGAGAAGATCGTATCGGACACCAAACAGGCCATAGCCGAAGGCACCGTGGCGGCGGTTGGGGTGTCTGCCAGCAACAGCGGTCGGGGATATGACACTACACCTGCCGAGGGGGGAGAATTCGTCGTGACTACGCTGAGCGAGCCCGTAGAGGAGGAGACGGAGAGCGCCATTGCAGAGGATGCCAGCCCCGAGGTGTCGACTGCAGGCAAAGACGCCCCAGAAACGACTGAGGCTGCAAGAAAGGCCGATGAGGGGTCCGAGAAGTAAAGGCACCGGGCATGGCAAAAAGGCCGCAGCTTTTCTTGCCAGTTGCGGACATGCACACGTGTGAGTTGGGCATGAATGGACATTGACATGACGGCAGAGCAGAGATGGCGGGCAAGTTGAAATAAGCCTTTTAAATCGGAACTCATCTGCTGCTCGAATGAGAGCTGTGCGGATTTGTTTATGAATTTCCGGAATCGGGTGCGGTGCGTCGCTTCGACTCGACGGGGTGGTGGTGAGACCGGGGGGGCTTGCAGGCGCAACGTCACAAAGGGACGGTGGCGTCCATGTGGAGGGGATGGGGATGGCATGCACGGGCGGGTGCACAATAACGGTATAACGAAGCTGCCAAGTACCAGCAATTGCCTCAGTACTTGCCTAGGAACTTACGTGGTAGGTAGTCAGGAAGTACATGCTAAGATTGTCAAGAAGGGGGTAGAATACTTGAGTAATTTTGGACTTTCGGCTTTTTAGAGATGCTGGAGCTGGAACACCAACGAGATGCATGTGTAGTTATCTGCTTGAAGCACCTACTCCGTACTTGCTCAGGTTAAGTACCTAGGTAGGTACCAAGGTGCCCTGCTTTTGGGTACAAAGCGGCAGGTGGTAGGTAACCTTGAGACATGTTGCGCCGTTTTGATAGTGGCCCACCCCCTCAGCCTCGGCTCAGCAACTGGTGAGCTTCTAGAGCGCTTCAGTGTTCTCCAGTGGCAAACGTGGGATGGCTCGCTCAGCATTGCACTCGAGCCGATGTCCCCTTGTGGACAAGGAGTTGAGTGCCTGTTGTTTGTTTACGGAGAAGGCATGTACCCGAGTACGCAGTAGTAATCACAATCGGAGTCTTGCTTGGGTGTCCCCGCTTGCCGGTACGGAGTACTCCGTCCTGTTTGATAAGTAAGTTGCGTACCGACCAGGGGACATTGTTAAGGGTTATTTATTCCCTGGCGCGAAGCGGCGCCGAATCACCATCAGCGTGCGGGCGTGCATGTCTGCTCTGCCGCTCACAACTTGCGTATGCATGTGCCTTTATTTCATTTCTTCATCATCATCACCATTCATGTCTTTTGGCCATGGGCGAAGAAGAGGGGACGGGGCCCCCGATCGCTGCGTCTCCCATGTCCATCTCCGTCTCCCGTCTCCAATTCGGGCCCACCAGCCCGTCCCCAGTCCAACGCTCCCCCCATCTCCCCTATTTCCATCCCAGAATCCTCATCAACGATTGCTTGGTCCGGAGTACGGAGTACGGAGTAACTAACCGACTAGCAGCTTGACCCCCCCCTTATAGGCGGCACCTGTCCCTCCATTGGTCTTTCAACTGTAGGTTTAGCCGCGTTGGTTTTCTCAACCTCGCGCGCAGGCATGTGCCTTTGAATAGTCTTTGGAGCTGCTGGTCTTTCATTCGGGCTCGTGCCTCGCTCGCATCGCAGTCTTTCCTTGCTTTGTTCTGCATCGCTCCCCTGGCGACGAGCTAGCACGGGTGAGTGACGATCTCTATTACTATTTCCCTTCCCCCCTTGCCATCCCTTCTTCCGTACTCCGTACCTCCCTCTCTTTTCCCCTGGCGAGGGCCACCCCATTGATGAAGCACTGCACGTGTCGCGTCCCTGAGCTGCCAACGCCGTCTTGTCTGCAGTCGCTGATCTCTCTCGTAGACGACTCCGATCCACCACCGCCTGCGCGACGGTTTTGTCCCTCCTGCGACTATTGTGACGCCATTCCAGCGAGCAGATCCCTAGTTGGCCTCTTCCTAGTTCCTAGGTGACGCTCCGCAACGAGGGATAACCAGAACCCCCCTTAGTTCGCTTCGCTCTTTTCCCCCTCCCCGCTGCTTTCGACTTGTTGAAGCACTGCTTTGAATACGTCGGCTCATGTTTGACTCACCGGTCGTCGCTTTCTTCAACAACTCAGACGCCCTGGGTTTTCTCCTGTTCCAGCTTTCGAACTCGGGGCCCTCCACAAGTCGCTGTTACTTCTCGTCTTCCGTTTCGATATACCGGCTATTTCTGAGCATCTGTCAGGCCGCATCAATAGGAAAAGTAAAGTGTTTGGGGGTGCGACATCGACGGGACAAAGCAAACGACCATGTCGCTCAATGGTCTCGATGGCTCTCAACTGGTAGAAGCGTATGAAGCCGCAGCTGCTGAGCCTGGAGGCTGGTACGTACATAGTCGTGTGTTTCATTTCCTCTGCCACTGTACTCCAAAAGGGGCACTATGTCCATGGTCTCCGAGAGTCGAGACGATACCTCCTTGAGTGAGTTTTTTTTTCTCCCTCCATTATGCTGACCAGCTGGCTGTTTAGGTTTCTTCTCAAGTACGAAAGCCGAGATGAGATCGAAGTGCTTAGTCGCGGAAATGGCGGAATAGTCGAGGTGCGCAATACGATTGCTGCGTACGACGAGACGAGCCCATTGTATGGGTTTCTGAAATACCGGAGGCGGAATGTCATCATCAAATACCTGCCAGAGGACTGCTCGAGGATCATCCAAGGTATGTGCATGTACACCCTCTAGCTGCAGCGTCGGACAGATTGTTGTCTGGCCAGAATAGCGTCTGTCATTCTTGAATGTAAACTGAGTCGACTGACCGCAATACTTCCCATCCTCTCCAGCCCGCGTGGCTGTCCATTTCAACGCTGTCTGTGAAAGGTTCTCGCCGTACGACACAATCTTTGAAATAACCACTGCCGCCGATTTGAAAGACTCGAAGCTTTCTGCGGCCTGCTCCTTGCACACGGCGTCTTGCTCGACCTCATCATCAACCAGCTCTCTACGTCGGAGGCGACTGATGGAAATTGCCGAGGAGGAAGAGGAGGAACAAAGGGCCACGAAACGCCAATCCGTGCAGGACGCCGACAGGGGCAGGCCTGAGCCCTCTGCCGGTCGACCTCCGACGGCCGACCCTGTAACGCTGGACTCGGAGCTCGCATCCTCCCCTGAGAACAGCAAGTTTGCTGCGGCGACAACATCTGAGGTGCCCCAGTTCATCGGCGTTGATGAAGGTCCCACTTCGCCCGAGACCGACGTGCATACTTACGGCTCATACGCGTGCAGTAAGCCAAAGGTGAAGCTCGGTCCACGCCCTTCGGCCGATGTCAACGGTCGACCGCAAACCGCTGGCAATTTCCGGCCCGTATCTGCTATTCCTGCTGGCATCAAAATATTTGGCAAAGGCAGTAAGAAAGGCAACGGCAGGGATCGACAAGACTCCATTCCGTCGCCCCAAGAGGAGCTTGCAACTCTGAACTTTCCAGTGGCCGGAAACTCGGCGACCCTGCATGATGGTCAGGAGAGGCCGGCCACCAGTTCAGGCCTGTCCATAGACTCTCTACCTTCTCCCGTGTCCACCCCCAAAAAACCGACAATGAGCCGCGAGAAGGCGAGGTTGATGAAGGCCAAGCGGTTGCGGGATCAAAAGAAGAAAATGAGTATGCTGCCGCCGTCTGAACCGGCGCTAGTCGACAGCGAGGAGCTTCAGTATGCCGTGGATGAGGCCACGCCGGGGCAAGACGAAGCTATGTCGTGTTCCGACTCCCGTCATGACAGGGACAGGCGCCTTTCATCAAGCAAAGATGACTCTGGCGTCGTGTTGGAAACGGCGGCGACCCCTGTGGCTCCGAATGATCAGAACTCAGATCTCACACTTTGCAACTCTCACCCAGCGAGTCCTCTAGTTGAATCCTCTGATGCGGATAATTCCACGAAGGCTTCTTCGATCTCAGAGTCGACCGACGAGACGGTGCGCGCAAAAGAGGAGAAGCAGTCGCCAGAAACTGACGGGACATACGCTCATGGTTCTGTTGGCAGTAGCCTCGACGTGGCAACAGATGTCATCGACAGTCCGGCTGCCGGTGGACCTAATTCTGATGCGGCAGCGGTGGGCGACGAGGATATTCTCCAAGAGCCTTTGGATGCCTCTGAGGACTTGGGGCGAGTTGACAGTGGCGCCGCAACTTCGACAACAGGAGTCTCAGGGGCTTCCAAGGATGTCTCCGCGCAGTATGTTGATCAAATTGCCGATCAACACAACAGACTGGGGCAGAACACGCCGTCGCTTTCCGAATTCGCCGCAAATGGTATCGGCAACCTCGAAGAAAACAACGAGTCTCTCACTGGATCCTCGACACATCAACTTGACCTCGAGTCTCGACTCACAGTCCCAGTTATTTCTTCGGGAAAAGACGATGCTTCACCCACTTCCAACCCAAAGGTCTCGGCACCAGACTTCCTAGTCACCGAAAATGCTCACTCAGTAGAGACCGAAACGGACGCGGATGATGATGGCGAAGTCCACTCGGCTTCGAGGGAGAAGCAGACTCAGCACCAAATGCGGGTATTGCCCATACCAACGACAAACTTGAAGTCGAAGGGGAACTTGGAGGATGGGCTGCAGAGCGCGATAGTTGACGAGGCCACGCCGGCAACGGTTCTCAGAAGACCTCTCACCCCAAGTTTTCCCCCAAGTCCTAGTAAATCACAAGACGGCCACGCAGTCAGGACCGTATCAAACCCTGTTCGCGGCAATCTTATTCTTCCATCCGATGTGAACCCATTCTCAGCGCGGTCCACGAGCTCTGGTGCCGCCTACTTGCACCACATTGCGCAGCACCAACCACCGCACGGGAGCAACTTGATTATGAAGACAAACGTCGCCTCGGGTATCTCGGCGCGAATCAAAGCATTTGAACAGCGCTCTGCATCTACAGCAGAAGCACCGGCAGCAACGGCGAGAGAAAGACCCTCGTCAACTTTTTTTGCCGTCAAGAAACAGGAGCCATCTGGGTCGCTGTCCGTCTTGGACAGAGCAAATTCATTCCGACATCAGGCCCCTCCATCTCCGGAACGGACATTGGAATCCTCACCAGAAGCAGGAAGACGCAATCGGCCTGAACGGTCAGGCTCGGTGACCAGCCGCTTATCCATGTTTGAACCGCCTCCTGGATCGCGAAACCTTGAAGTCGTCCCTACAGCAGGCGCAAGCCGTGGACGGCCCGAATCCATCTCCGTTACCGCGCGCATCATTCGTGCTCCGAATCAACCGGCGGAGATGGGCTTCGAACCTCGTAGGGATCCATCCGAATACAACCCTCCAGAGTTGAAACAGTCGCCCCTTGTGGTGGACCACCAGGCGGCCTCGCCAGCAGACGACTGCCCAACCGCCGAACCGGCGGCTGAGCACCCAAGCGAAACCCAAGAGCAAGGGAGGTCGGGCAAGTCTGGACAATCATCCTTTAGCATCGTGAAGGGCTTCATCAAGGAAAGACGCAAGTCGGTGACTCTAGACGGAAGCAACCCTGCCCAGTCGCCCACGCGACAAGACACGATGCATGCCAATGGCGCCTTGTCTCCTCGTTTGTCCATGAGCAGCCACCCGTCGTCACCTGGCAAGGACCATGATGTCGTCTCGTCGCCCACAGATTTGGGTCCTGGAGATGATGGCAAGTCCGGTAGTGGGGACAAGAAGCTTTCGCGAACCGGCCGATTCATGCACCGTCTCTCTCAGCTCTCCGGATCTCGTTCCAAGAACAATTTGCCGGCTACACCCACGTCGGCGACAAAGGTCGAGACCCAAGAAGCCGTCCAACTGCGCCCATCGACCACCGGGAGCCCCACCATTGTGTCCTACATGGGCGACGTCAATGTTCAGTTCCCGGACAACCTGCTCTGGAAGCGGAGAAACATGTGCCTCGACTCTCAGGGGTACCTGATCCTGAGCGCTTTGCCTGCCCAGAACGGCCGACCGGCACAAGGCACGAAACGATATCATCTCGGCGACTTTCGCGCGCCGTATGCCCCGGATGTGGAGGTACAAGAACTCCCCAACAGCGTGGTTCTGGATTTTGTCGAGGGTTCAGGGATCCAGGTGGCATGCGAGGATCGCGCCGGACAATTGAGGGTGTTGCAGAGTAAGCCGTGACGAACTTTGACTGGGTACTGCTGCGAAGACTTGACGAAATGGAAACTGACAATTCTTGTAGCCCTCCAGGAAGCCCACGCCGCTCGTGGTAGCACGTATGCACTCTAAGCGCCGGTGCCTGCAACCCGTATCTCCCGCTGCGCTTGATCCGTCTCGTCTTCTTCCTTTCCTTTGTTGATTCAAAATACCCCATCTGCCTGTTCCGGTGGCCGCTTGCTTTCTGCCTTGTTTTCCACCTGCACATTGTACAAGCATCGTATACCAACCTACATGACTCCGTTTTGCCCGAACCTCTTGTTTGTCACGGCACGCCCTGCGACGACACGCCGGCATTTCGCCGACCGAACCCGCATGCAGTCCTTTGCATACCTCCTTTTCGTTGCCGTTCATCATCGTTGTCTGGTTGAAGAAAATACCCTTTTTTTTTGGGGACATGAAAAGAAGACTTTTCTCCTTTTGTTTCTGTTACTCTTGCTGCTGCTCCTCCTGTTGCTGCATCAGTCTTTAATCGGTATACCGAAGAGCGGAGCGATTCATCTTCCATTTAGTTCAGCCATATCAGCCATGTAGCCTAGTCGTGAGAGTCGAGGAGACTGCGCGCGCAACCTGTACGCTCTGTCAGATGTTGCCTTTTAATTTTAGTCTTGTACTCGGTGCACAAACTGCTGCCCTTGGTAGGCTGCTGGGACGGTGCCTCGGTCCAGTCTGTGCGTGCACGGCTGATGGGGAGGAACGGGAGAGGCACGGAATCGAGTCGTACGAAAGCGCTCTAGCCGCCGTGCGTGCCCATACGTACATGATTCGGCCGATGCCACGGGGACCAAAGTACGGAGTACAGTTGCAGCTTTGCGTGTCTCTAGAAGCCCGACTATTTTTAAATACAAGTTCCGCGACGGGCCCCCATGTCAAAACTTTTGTCTTGCGTGCTCGCGACCCCGGCGACCCCGCGCCGTGGCTCGCGTCTCCGTGCCCCGTTGAGAACAATGGGAATCAGTGCCAAGGATGTCGTGGTCCAGAAGTTTGCGTGTGATTCTACCCCATGGATGTGATACCTACAGTGGCCGCCGTGGTAAAACCAGACTAAACTGACAGAGGCCCCCCCAAAGAACAGCACCAAGCTGGCACAGCAGCACCGACCGGTATGAAGCAATTCCAAAACACCACCGCGCAGTAGCAAACGTTTTTTTTTCCCGAGCCATTTCGCCAACCAACTCGCTGTAAAATGAGACAAAATGAGAAATCGCCCCCTTGTACCTTGTAAAAGTAGTAAACCCAACTGTGACGGGAAAAAAAGAAGCGGGGCGTGTAAAGGAGCCATCGCATCGCATCGATTGCTATCGCTTTCATCAAATCATTTTCGTTACCAGACATCAAATGCGGGGTCTATTCTCCCGCGGTTCGGCTTTTTTTGGTGTTGTTTCTTTTTTTTTTTAAAAAAAAGGGAAATTGTTCCAAGACACAAGGACTCAGCCGTGTGCACCGGCATTTCCGTTCGTCGAGCCGGGTCCGTCAATGCTAGAAAACTGCACGGGATCCATTGCCATGTACTCTAGCAGGTCCAACCCGCCAACATTGACGCCCTCGGCGGTCATGGCAACGGAGCTGTCTCCCATGTTTTGGAAGAAAGCTGGGCCGGTTGGGAGGTACCACATCTCGTTGCCTGGGTTGTCCCAGCCCTCGAAGAGGTGCATGTCCACGCCACTGGGAGCAGCCCCGTTGTTTTCGACATGCGCTGCCGGCGTCGACGGTCCTACAGACGACGCGCTGGGATAAGGGAAGTTGCCGGTAGACAGGTCGAATGGCGTAGCTGAGATGTTGTTACCCTCGACGCTGGGCGAAGCGGGCCGATCTACGGAGAGCGCCCAAGGTCAGCCCAGAGCCACCAGAATTCAAATCGTGATCCAAGCACTTACATTGTCCAGTGAGGCCTTCTCGCAATTTCTGGGCGTGTTTGCCGACCCAGCTCGCAGTGTGGTCGCCGTGGCCGGCCGCCGCCGCAGCACCGGGCACGGTGCCCTCGGGCAGTGGAGTTTGATCCTTCCCAGAGCCCTGCTGCATAGTCGGCGCCTGGATGAAACGATTTCTCAGTCGACTCGTCAGTGTCTCGAGGAGATCGGCAAACCGGATACCCAGATGGACGTCGTCTACGACGCAGTTTCGAAGTGCCTCCACGGTAGCATCCATGAGTTCGATACTGAGCTTTACATCGGATCGCGGGGCACCCAAAGCAAATGTCTTTAGCAAGAACATGGCTCCACTGATGATGCGGAAGTAAGTACGGACCGGAGCATGCTTCAGGTAGCCGCCCGGCAGAAGTCCCTCGACCACGGTGCGCAGCAGGTTTCTACACCCGTCAACGACCTCTCGGACGTATTCTTGATCGTTGATGGTGAAGCCGCCAAGCTGTCCGAGTGGCAACTTGCCATAGTTTATCATTGTCTGCGGGGACAGTTGAGTCGGTCCGTTGGTGGCCTGTCCATCGGCATTGTGGCCATTCACATTCTGTCCGGCATTGCTGGCGCATCGCTCCACTACTGCCTGGAGGGACAGGGAATTGACGTAGATGCGGACGTACTCGTATTCAATGGTGAGAATGTGCCGGATAAACTGGGGGAGGCGGAAGAGTTCAAACTCCCTGTACCAGTCTTTCAGCAAAGGGCTGTACTCTCGAAGCAGCTCCACATATCGCCCCGTCTGGATGATTTCCGTGGTGTATTTTCTGGAGCGGAACAGTTTCTCATTGCCAACGTGCATCGCATTGCTAATTCCCGCCCAACAGTGGATAATTTGATCATCAAGTTCCAGATCGGGCACGTAGTTGAAGCCGTTCACCATGGAGGACGTGCTCGGGGTGTTTCCATCGCTGGTCGCGGTGCGCCGCCTTGTCACGGCTGGGTCCGCTTTGCGAAGGTGTTCTGGAGTCATGCTTGTCCAGCCCAAGCGACCAGCCAGCTGTGAGGTGTATATGAGCAACAGACGCTTGATTCGGTTGGCTCTCGTTCTGTAGGCTTCGTCCATGTACTCTGGACGCGTAATTGTATCGTCCTTGAGCATCTCGTCGATATCATCGAAGACACCCAGTTCGTACGCAAGACCCATGGCAGTGCTGAGAAGCATCCAGCACATACGGTCACTTCTCCAAGCCGGCTCCAGCCAGCTCTCAATCCTCTTACCTCCAAAACCAGCACCTACGTTCCTGCTTGGGTCGTCCGAAGCAGCCATGGGTCCACTGTTGTAGTCGGGAAGCATGAGCTCGTCGGTAGCTTCCTGAGGAGGAAAGTGCAAGGCACGAGGGTGCCACTCCGTCAAGATCAGCAAAGATTCAATGGTTCCTAGCGTTCGCAGGCTGCCTTTCCTCATACCACGCCAAGGCGCAGTGCTGCTTGTATCCGTCTCCTCAATAATCATGGACGAGGACCCCGGGCCACCAGAGCCGCAGAACCCACCACCAAAGGCCTCCTGGCCCCACAGGCAGCGCTCGATCATCCCTCGGAGGTATGTCCAAAGCTGCTCTGGGATGGCATGCGAACGACAGTGACCACCCGTTCCGGGCATTTGACGATATCTCGAGGAGATGGTAAGAAGAGTGACAGTGAGGATAGGTTCTTCGGTAAGGAGGGTAAGATGAGAGGCGGGGTCGCTGAAGGTTGGTGGCGAAATGGGCGTCATGGGCGACAGGTACTTATAGTAGCTATGAGGGACAGGAGATGGCGTAAGCATCGGATGACTTCCCGAATTCGTAGACCAAGGATGGCTCGACTTTTGGCTGCTGCTGATGGACTTACTAGTCAATGTACTCTATAGCCTCTTGGGCAGTGAACCAGCCAGCTCTCACAAAGCGGAACCTTGACCAGGCACGCAAGGCCTCAGCGTATCCAGGCTGAGCTCTCAAAGCTGGCTGCTGCACGAGAACGGGATCGACAGGCTGCTGCTGCTCCTGCGTCTGTTGCGGTGCGGTATCTTGAAACTGGCGTGGGGGCACACGGTGTTCCGCCTCGGGCTTTGCGCTGGACATGGACGTCGGCCTGGGGACGTCCCTACTCGCGGTGTCCTGTGGCGTGGGCTGATGGGCTGGCGCCGTGGTGGCCGAGGCGATGCTTCCCTCACGCCCATGGTTGTTCGCAGCGGGACTGTTCGAGTCAGCACTGTTGACCCTCTTGTTGCCAGACGACTCGACAACAGACCTGTCGGTTGCAGCCTTGTAGAGTAGGTCTAGCGCGTCATGGGGGTTGTACACTGCACGGCGCATAGCTGTCTGAGCCTCGAGGTTTTCCAGATTGGCGTCGCCGTCACCGTCGAGCTCGGAGTCTCTGCGCTGCCTCGGCTTGCTCGCATCGGGTCGGCGCAGGGGATGGCTGCGGCCATGGGAGCCGCCAGGAGTGAGCGGGACTTCACTGTAAAAGCGACGGTCGAGACGAGGAGGCGGGCTTTCACCGGCATGAAGCCTCTTGCGGCCGTTTCGAACAATGTACTCATCGACGTCGCTGCCTTCGTCGTCGTCGGTCTTTCGCTTGCGGCGAGTGGCGGAAAAGAAGCACTCTTTGCTCTCGCGGCGGCAGCGCACGCATGGCGGGTCGTGAGGGTTGTCGACGCTGCCCAGGTCGCACCGAACTTTGCGGCGGCGGCACGGAATACAGGCCTGGTAAACGCGCTTGTGCTGAGGATTCTGGGCTGAGGATTGCCGCGGGCCTGGTGCGTCTCCAGCTCCCGACGACGACCCCGTCTGGTGCGATTGCTGGCGGGCACCAGGCGTCGCAGAGACGCTAGGGCTTGATGCAGCAGTTCCAGCACCGTACTGAGGTTGGGCCATGCCGGGCGAGGCGAGGCGAGGCGAGGCAGCAACAGGGCGCCGCGACGTTGCGACAATGCGTTGTTGTTGGGACTTCGGTTTGCGGCGGATTGCGAGGGCAAGTGCAGTCCAAGGGCCGCGGAGTGCCGTGGAGAAGCGTTAGTGGTCAGCGTCCCCGTGGGCAAAGAGAAAAGCGTCAGCAAAAGGCGGGCAGTTAAATGAGTGGGCGGGGGAAGAAATGCGCGGTGAAGCGGACGAGCGGGTGGAGTTGGCGCTCGGGGTTGGGAGTCGTCTGCGCCGCGCAGCGCTGGTGAGTCTGGTCACTGGTGTCTGTCTCTCTGCCTCTGCCCGGGAGGAAGCGGGGTCTGATGGAGGGCGTGCCGAGTCGGTCTCCATTGACCGTTGTGCTTCGTGCGTCCGGGGGCGCTGGTTTGCCGACTAGGCAAGCAAGAGTTACTCGGCGGCCAAAAGCGTTGAGAGTTTTGTACGAGAGGCGAGATGCAATGCCACACATGCGATGTGACGGTCAGGCTGCCGTCTTGTCGGCCCCCTGACTTGGACGGGACGGACTTGGGACGGGACTATGGGTGATGAGTGTAAAGGGCCAAGATGCAACTTGTTGAATGTCAAAAACTCTACGGCGGAGTACGGAGTCAGTGGTGAGCGTGGAGTCGTGTGGCCGTGGCGGGAGCTGAGATCATCTCCGCAGCCCTGTTGCAGGGGAAAGCGGAAGGTCCAGGTGCGCGCTGTTCCCTAAGTGGGGTACTGTGGAAAGAGGAAGGAAGGACAGAACAGCGGGAGAAGGAGCTGCCAGAGTTCTGAACAAGCCAACGTGAATACCTACGAGTACCTACCTAGGTAGGTACCTACCTATTCTCGAGTACTTGAGTAAGTAAGCACCTACTTGTAGGCTACCAGTACTTATCAACTTGGAAGGTAGACTTTCCAACCACATGAGCACCCCCCCCTCCCCCTCGGTACGGAGCACGTACCTGGAAGCAATTTGTCACTCTGGGGATCTTTTGACTCGGGCGTCAAAGTGAAAGCCTATTTTTGCTTCCTCATCCACCTTGCCTGCTGGCTTGAGGTTGACCTTGCCCTCTTTGAGCAATCCGGACATTGGCCTTACGTACAAAGTAGCAAGTGCTTTGCAGTCTCCGCCGGGTCCGTAAAAGCGGGCCCCCCGCCCCCTCATCAATCATCAATTTCCGGGAGCCACGCCCACGCCGACGGGGAGACATTGGCCGACGGGGCCGACGGTTGCGAAGTTGCTCAAGTAGTACTGTCAAGTTGGCACAGATGCCCAGGAGGAACCCTTCTATCACCTTGGACGTTGCAAGGATGTCGACACCCAACACCCAACACTCAACCCGGCCCACAATCCAGATGCCCCCCGTGGCCGTCGGGTTGGTTGTCTTTCGGTGCCGTGGCAGCCTTTTGACGTCCCTGATGCCACACACGGATGCGGTTCAATCCCGCTCGACGACTTTTGATGCCGCATCATTCCAGAATGCGCACGCATTGCTTCCCTTTCACGCGGCTGAGTCGTGTTTATTTTTTTTTTTCCCGTCCCCAATGCAGTGTCGTGTTCGCATGCCGTCGACGTTGGCTTTGCTGCCGCCATGCGCAAGCTCACCAATGACAACTGGCAATTCGTTGGCCGTTGGCCAATGACAACCCACCTGCTCCGTGCTCCGTGCTCCGTACTCCGTTCTCCGTACCTCGTGGCCAAACGGCAGAATTCGTCGTCTTCGCAGTCGCACACGCAGCCAGGCCAGATAACTACCGTCCTTTTTGTGCGGACCTCTCGTCGCTCCATCTCGTCGCTCCATCTCGTCGCTGCCATTGCCGACTCCACCTCCAGGGCAAGGCATCTTCGTTCAGGCCCGTCTTCTATCCCGACAGGTTGCCGGCCACTCACAGCGCGCTCCGTGTCAATTTGCGAAGTCGACGTCGACGAGAGTCGTGTCAGTGTCGTCATCAAGTGCCGCGTAATACACGGTCGCCCATTTCTGCCGGTACCCTGATACCAGACCGAAGAATTCATCACCCGCCCACTCCGCACCTCGTCCCGTCACCACGGTGCCCCGACGGACAGACACCAGAACCTGGCACACCGGCCGACAACCACCATCGCCGCCATCACCACCATCGTTCCGCAGCTCTGCTCGGCTTCAACCGCTGCACCTCGGCCCACACACCACCTTTCCAACAGGCTCGACAAACGATAAAGAGACGCGGCGCCGGCCCCGTCGCGCACGACGCTACCCACAACACCGCACAGCTCCGGGGCAAGCTGCCTCGTCCCTGTCGAGGGGTCGAGGGGCGCCCCCGCGACTCCGTGACATGCCTTGTAGAACAGAAATCCAGCACATCGCAGCCATCAACTCCTCACTGCCAGGAATACATTGACTGCACCATGTACTCCTTACGCGTTCACCACACCAACCCCCACCGTCAGTCGCGGGTATACCCGTCAAACGTACGTAAAATAGCAACCGACCAACCACTTGCATAAACAGACCATGCCGGGGCCAGCGCTCATCGAGTCGAGATGGAAAGACACCGAGGCAAGGAAGAAAAAAAAAAGATGAAAAAAAAAGACTATTCATTCATTCCCAACCCCACTTTTACGAGAACCTAAAGCGTTTTATAAACAATCAAATAAATAAAAACCTCTCTTCACTCCCTTTCTACTCCATACACTGAGAAGCCCCCCCTCCTCAGTCCCCAGTCACCCTTGCACCCGCCCAGCCAGGCTTCCTCCTCCCAACCTTGATCCCTAAATTTTGAAGAAACCCCAGAAATCCCAGCTACAGAGTACATCTTTGCGTGATATTGCCGGCCAAAAGTATCCATCAAGGAACAAGGACTCGATCCGAACCCCGTCAACCCTGGCATAGATGGCAGCCCGTGCGTGGCCCTGCCATGTCCCCCCGCCCTTTCCCCTCATTCGTCACAAAGTTTCTTAATGCATGCGCGCCAAGGGCAGCAGCCCCGCGTCGTTGCTGGGAAATTACGAAGCAAAATATATGAGTAGCCGTTTTTAGTTGACCAATCCCTTCTTCGACTGTGACACCTGTCAGGAATTGGGCGTTTTTTTTTCTTTCCTCTCATCAAAGCGCGCGGGGGGGGGGGGTTAACGTACCAAGTGCTCCCACAGTTTCGTCGTCAGCATATCCGGCATGGTATAGAGGTCAATTGAGAACTCCCCGGCTTCAGCAAGGTTGTCGACTATTAGCTCATACGCATTTCAAACATCAACAACTCCGAAGACATTCCCCGGCGCGGACAGAACAAAGCAGCGGGAGAGCGGCCGAGGGGCAAAACTCACCTTCCACATCACTCCGTATATAGGTATCCGGACCTTTGTTTTCGTTGATCAGTTGAATGACGCGCAGCAGGTCCTCCTCCTCGAGTTTTTCCAGTGCCTCGGCAATCTTCTCGTAGTCGTACTTTTGCCCGCCCTTCTTGCCGGCAACAGCCTTCTTCTTTTGGCGATCGTCGTCGTTGGGCAGAGGACCAGTTTCGCGCAGGCGTTCCTGCAGAACTTGCGACGGGTTCTTGAAGGTGACTGTATGGGTTGCCTCATATTTCTCCTCTTGAAAGTTCAGGTCATGGATGATGGGCGCCAGTTTCGTCTTTTCGGTTGTGTAGCAGTCGATGCTGATTTCGAATTCGCCCCAGCCTTCGTTGCTGCAGAGAAATGGAGGCTTCATAAAGGCTGAATATCAAGGAGCACACAGTCAGCGCAAGCTCCAGCAAGCCAGGTCCAGGCGACACAGTTAGCCAGGCTTCAACTCACTTTGAGTGGGGTTTTCAAAGGTGGGATGTAGGTTGTAGACAACCTTGGTGAACACATCGGCAGGCCTCTCGTTGCCTTCTTCATCCAACAGGTGTAATTTCAAGCTCCATTCTCGCATAGGAAAGTCGGCTACTGGGGACGGCTTGTCACTATCACACCAGCCACAATTAGCATCTGCTCAGAGGGGCCGTCAAAAAACACTGATCCTCCTTTCAGCAATTTCACTTTCGTCTTGTCATTGCTCCATGACCGCCGCGGCGCGCATGGCCTGTAGCTCACAGCACGCAGCCCAATGGCAAAAATCGACCTTGGATAAAAAAAAAACAAATCGTGGTCGTCCATTCGTCGGTTTTGGATGGGGAAGTTGGTTTTTTTTTTTAAAGGAAAAAAAAAAATCGTGGCAAGTTGCTTACATGATATGCTGCTCGGTGACGACCTTAACTTTCCTCTGTTGATCGTTAGTACTCTTCCTCGTCCGAGGCGGCATCGTGGGAAACAATGTTTTCCGTCAATGGAAAGCCCGCGCTGCTTTCCCGTCGTTTTCAGCAGCTCTGGTTACGGACGGTGTAGGACGAGAAGCAAAAGGAGAAAAGAAAAGACAAGAATACTCGAGGAAGATGGACAGATTCACGCGAATGCGAATACGGGGGAAATACAAAAGAGAAGAGGACGGCAGGGTCCACGGCAGACGGCAGTGAGCCTCAAGCGTCCTCGCAAGCAGAATGAACAGAAGCAAGGAGGAAGGCGGGACGGGACCGCAGACGGGTAGGCAGAAAGATGAGCCAGAGAAAAAAAATAGCCGACATTGCCCAAGTCGTGAGCAGCCCAAGCACGAACACGAGCGTGTGCAGCTCATGGCCCCGAGAACAAACACGAGCAGGCAGGCTGTTCTCTTCGAGGCAGGCATCGAAAGGCGCCGTCGGCCGGCTGTCGAGCAGGCGGAGTGCCCAATTGACAGGCCCTTTGCGGCCGACAGTCAACAACGACGGCTCCAACGCTCGCTCTGGCTCGTTCGCTCGGGTGCGGGTGTGTCTGCTGTGTGTCTGCTGTGTGTCTGCCGCCCGTCGCTCTCGTCCTCGTTCGTCCCAAGTCGATCCCGCCCCGCGATCTTTCTCCTTCGCACCAGCTCTCGGCTGCTCCGCGCGACTGCCTTGTCCTGCCATCTCCGTCCATTCTAACCAGCATGCTGGCCAGCGAGGAGACCGGGCCCACGGGGCACCATGAAGGGTGTGAAGAAGAGCACATGGGCATTGGGGGGGAGTGCAAAGCCAACCAGCAACTGCAGACGGCCGAGGCCGATGCCGCCGCCCGGAGGCGAAGGGGGTTTCAAAAAGGGTCAGCCAACGTACCTCGACCAGCATTTTGGCGGCTGTCTTGATTTCCCGGTGTCCTTGAAGCAGAATGAATTGGACACGGCTCGAAATGGCTCCCGTACCGGTCCCGGTTCCGGTTCGCTGGTTATCCCTTCTCTTTCTGCGTCGAGTCTCGAGTAGCACAACTGAGGACGGAAAGAAGACAAAAAAAAAAAAATGACTGGATGGAGAATTCGCAAAACTTGGCCAGGGCGGTTGAAAGACGGACAGAAGACAAGCGGCAGGCACGGGAGAAGGAGAGAGAAAAAAAAATAAAGAATTAAATACACCAAATCGGTCGACGCTGCGACTCAGTCAAGGATCCGGTCAAGGGACGAATCGGGAGAGCAAATCCGCGTGCGGTATTATAAGTCAGATCTCGTAGGGCCGTCAATTGCGATGGAGCGAATACATCCGAGGATAGGATGCGATGCGATGCGATGCGACACGAGGTGGAGGAACGGGAGTCGGAGATTCGGGCTGGCGACTGGAAGACGTCTGATGTGGACTTTGGACTTGGGTCAGTCAAGCGTGGTCAAAATGGTCGAACGGTCGAGCGGTCGAGCGGTCGAGCGGTCGAGCACCCGCGCTCCAGGCCGCATGCAGGCTGCAGGCTCCAGCTCCAGCGCTCCAGGCTCCAGGCTCCGCGCCCGGGGCAGACCTCGACTGACAGGCTGCTGATTTTTACTATTCGTGGCTGGCTGGCCTGGCCTGGCCGGCGGCTACCGACTTCCACTGGTCCAGTGTGGTGCCAGAGGCTCAGAGCTCCCCCCAGAAGCCCCCGAGCCCCCCCGAGCCACTGGCTGGCGCTCGGGCTCATGCTCTCCACCACCTTGACATTGTCTGGCTACTGCTTCACTTCACGTCTGCCCCTCTGCCCCTCGACACTCGCATGCCCGTCACACAAACCTACGCATGCGCCAGCATCCCCATTCGCCGGCGTCTCGTTTTCCACTTGACATTGTGTTCATTACTTTGTGTTGTGACCTGATGCTTCGGAGATGCTATCTACCATTTGCTACCCTTGCTTGGGAGGGGGAAATTGCGCCGCTTGGGTCCCAATTCTCGCCCACAATACGTTCCTCAGCCCATGGATTGTCCATTCAACCAATTTTTTTTTCTCACCTTCTTTGTAGTCTGAATCCGCTTCGTTCCCCTTTCCGAATTGTTCTCAGTCCAGTGAATTAATAGAAAGAAAAAGAGAGAGAGACAGACACTGTGGCTTTCCTTTTTCGGGTTGGCTTCGGTACTGGGGGCGTTGTTTTCAAGGATGCAATATTTTCGCTGCTGGGATGACACTGAGCGCTGATGTGGCAATGGGGGAAGGGTAAAAAGGGGGAGAGGGTAGTGATGTCAGGTTGGTGGCAGGGGGGCAGCAGCTCTTCCTGCTTCGTGAACTGCAAGAGCATGACGATTTCTGCATGGCCGAGCATCTGGCCACTTATTCGGGCTTGTCAGCCGAACCGTCCTCCTTGCCGAAAATCACCTCGTTCTCCTTCTGGGCCTTCAAGAAAGCATCCTTGAATAGATTGGCGTCTAAGGCATCCTGGGTCAGTATACAAGACCGCTGCTGTGCAAAAGCATTGGCGCGCAAAACTCACTCTCAGTGTTGGCAAAGCGAATGGCAAGGGTGCAAGCCTCGGGTTCGCCCTCACTGACATCGGCAGCGGCATTCCATACCCAGCTGCGGTCAGAGCCGACGTTTGGGGAAAGCTTCATTTCGGGCACGACTAACACGAAAGGATCAGCCGACCGCGGTTGCTCAACCACTCCTTCATCCACCCACGGACGAGGAAAAACGTACTGTAGTGGTTGGCGCAGACCTTGAGCGTCTTGTCGCGTCGCATAACCAATCTAGTCTTGCCGTTCTCCTTGTGCTTGAGCAGACGGACATCACCAGTTCCGCGCTCTTTCCACTCGCTAGATTCTTTGGAGAACTTGAAAAGCTTTGCGCGCATTTTGAAAAGCTGCTCCTCCGACTCCTCGTTGGTTTTGGTCTCGACCTTTTCGGTGAGCTTGATGACGGGCTCAAAGTGGACATCCTCGCTTTCAGGGGGCTCGTCCTGCAGCAACCAACGCGGTCAGTCGTCTACTCTCAATCATCCACCATGGACACGTAGTTCTCAATTCAGTCCAAGAATCCCCCGAGCCATGACAGCGCGGACGTGTTTGCCGTGATTTGCGCGTGAAAACGTACCTCACCGGCCTCGGCCTTGGCAGCCTCCCGCTGGGCCTTGGCGCTGCCAGAATTGTCACCACGATCCTCGTCTTCGTCCTTCTTCTCCTTCTTCGTGCCGCCTCCAAACATGGAGAAAACGGCCGACGAGGTCACTGGCTTCTCATCGGCAGCGGCACTTGCGGGGTCGGAAGCGGAACCAGCAGCCTAGCCATCATGTAATTAGCATCAAGAGGCCATCGGACAACAAAAAGAAAGAGATTAGCAAGCAAGCGTGGCAGAAACGCGATGCCAAAGGGGCTCTTGCCAGCCTGCACATGATGATGAGGGCGCGCAGTCGGCCGTGGACCAAAAAAAAAACCCCCCAACGGCCGACAGCACGCGCCACCATGGACCAGGTCGACGGTTCCAGTGCGGGACGAGGACAAGACAGTCTCTGCAGAAAGGGGCGGTCCATACCACGGCGGTCTCGACGGGCTTGGTCTCGTCGACCTTGGGCTCGGTGTTCTCAGCGCCAGACATGTTTGTTTCTTCGGGGAAGGGGGCAGGGGTCGCGAGTTGAAAACGGTCCAAGACTTGTGTGAAAGGAGAAACTGGATGCCTTCACCACTAGAACAGTCAGCCAAGTCAGCCGGTCAATCACGACAAAAGCAGGCTCTGGGCTTTAGAAGAAAAAAACAACGCCGTGCCCACCACAGGTTTGTTCCCAGTCTTTGTTGCCCCTTCAGCCCTCTCGACTCTCCACTGTCTGGCACTTCGGGCATTTGCGCCCCACCAAGGAGAGCCAGAGAACCAGAGAGCCAGGCGGGGTGCCGCCATCTGTGGGTAGCCATGGAATATGAAATTCATGATGAAATGCACTCACAGGAACTAGTGTACTGTGACAGTTGCAAGGAAAACCGAAAGGTCTGCAAAGCAAAAGTCTCTGCGAAAAAGACGTCGGTCGTCCACGTGCCCGCTTGTGCTACCCTGTCAGCGGTGGCGCCTATGTACATATACTACGTACATCGTAGTTACATACATACATTAAGTAGGTGCCTAGGTACTTACGTAGGGGTGCCCCTCCCTCCCCTCCTCCTCCTCTCCCCCTCCTTATCATCATCATCATCTTCGTCACGTGTTAGCTCCACCTGGTGTGAAGGGCCGGCCGAGAAAGACATCCGCAGCACGGTGTCTTTCAGTTCTGTTACCCCATGCCGCCGGCGCCCTTGAAACTAGGACCAGTCTCTCGACTTGCTCACTCGCGTATTGCGCAAGGTGTCAACGATCCATGTGACCTCCTGTATCATTTGCCCCAGGGCGTCGCAGGTTCCCAAACTCGCCTGCTGCCCTCACCGCCCCTGCTCACCCAGACGACAGCAACAAGACTCGACGCGGAGGGCGTGATTGCCGGGTCGATAGATGTTTGCCTCGTCAACTTGAGAACCCGTCCTCCATAAGCCTACGAGGCAGGTACATCAGACACAGTTGCCTAACCGCCGGCAGTCGCCTTCTCACCCAATACCACCCAACCTTTAAGAGTCTGATACATCACAATCCCACAAACTAACTTGATACTTTTTACTGTTTGATGCCGAGCCAGACGGGTATCCTTCCTTGATTGCTATAAAAGAAATTTTTCGGCACGCAGCCGCAAAGCCAATAAATCAACCCTACCCGGACCTAGTCCTCAACTCAGTCATGACCAGAAAACTCCACGCGCTCCGAAAGCTATCAAAAACGGTGTCCGAATCCCAACGCCTAGGCACCTTCATCTATATTGCATGAGAGCCTGCCGTGCATTTCCTGTCAAGCCTCTACTTTGCAAAGACAAATGTCCCTTCCCTTTCGGTAATTCAATTTGCACCAGTTTCGTTTCGTCCGTCCACAAAAGGCATGGTCCTTGCCACCATCATCACGGAATAAACCCTGAATTTTATTTCGCCCTTCACGCCGTCTCTTGGCCATGAAGTCTTTAGCCTTCTTGCCATACTCATCATACTCCGCGATCTGCCCCGTCACCTTGAGCCACCACATCCGGGCCGAGATTCGAGTCCTGAGAAAGTACAGCTGGGCATCAAGTATACCATCCTGAACATTCAGCTTGATGTTGTGCGATGCTCCAGCCTCCATCGCCAGCTTGTACATCGATTCCAGAGTCTGTGGAACTCTATTGACCACCTCTGCAGCATAACCCGTCGAAACCGACGGAAGATGAGAAAGTAGCTCTTTCATCTTGACTGAAGAAGTCTCGATTCTTCCCATCAGAGTGTCAGAGACTGTCACCATCCCACTGGCTAGGGTATCGGACACCGCCCCAAATGACTTCTTGGCTCCGACAAGACAGCGTTCTGCCTCCTGGGCAGCCACCGGAACCAATTCGGAAATATCGTGAGCCAAATTCCTCGTCCTTTCATATGCTTCTTCAATGATGCCCTTTCCAAAGTGGACCTTGACGGCTTTGGTCACAGCAGGTCGGCATGTGGCTTCAACTAAAACTTTGACCACGCCAAAAGCCTCCTTCTTTGGAAACTTGACAAGGAAGCCATCTTCAGAAGGGTAAAATTCCATTTCCACAGCTTCTCCAATGCGAGTAGCTGTGATTGAGAGGCAAGTCTTCTTTTTCAACCATGTTTTCTGCACATGAGAAGCAACGTGCACCATAATGGCGCCGTGTCCTAGGGGGCTAAATTGAATGTCTGGTCTTTTGGGTCCGAAAGGCCACTCGTTGGCTGCTTGGTCTTTTATGGAGATTAAACCCATGCCCTTGACCGATACAGTGTCATGTGCAGCTGTGGCAGTCGAGGTTGTCTGCTTCGTATAGAGTACAATAGGTCTTGTAGTTGCAGTAATCGCAGAGGTAGCGACAGTTTCTGCAGGTCTGGTAAACTCAACTGTTGGCGGGCGCAGCAGCGAGGATAGAAGACCGAATACAACCGCGAATAAGAGGCCAGGGAGAGCCGCAGCTGTCGCATCTGTTGCATACTCCCAGGTACGGGACAGTCCCTCTCTGACAATACCCGTCCAATGTCGAAAGCGTACAGTTGGAGTAGGAGTTTCGTTGTTTGTACTTTCCAGCGCCCTTTCAATGACTTTACTTGCTTCCGGCGTCAAGATGGAGGGCGTCTTCAGGCTCTGCTGTGTATAGTCCAGAGAACAGCGCGACTGGCCGTCCTCTTCGCCTGATTCCGAAGCATCAGCAAAATGATGAACAAGGGCGGTTTCGTCATTGATAAACTCAGTGGCGCCCTCGCGTTCAGTAGACCGAGGGGGGTCCTCGACTTCTTCGTCTGCCAATGACTCATCATCAAAAGTTCGTTCGGTACCAGCCAGTGACTGTACATCGTCTGGCCGGGGACAGTCCAGTGAGCCAACAGACTCGGATATAGACTCGATGTAATTTTCATCTTGATCTTCGACATCGATGCTGCTGATCAGCTCAAAAGCGGACTCGGCCATACCGGAGTCCTCGGCTGGAGTGGCGGCACGCATGATGTCTGGATTACTTGTCGATATCCAGTTGGCAAGACGTTTATTCCCTTGTGGTCGAGGAAATCGAAGAAATGGCTCCGAGTTGGACAAGCCAGGTAGGGGAGAGCGTGGTCTGTTTGGAGTCAGATGATGATGTTGAATATCACGACGGTTCGCAGGCGGTGGCGTGGACGCAGGCGTCGTGGGCAGCTTTTCCATAGCGGAGCGGAAGGAACGAGTACGAGGGCTCGACCGTCTCACACGAAGAGAGATGCACAGGTTGCCATGAGACAGCCCTCGTCGTCGAGAGTGACAGACGACAAAAGAGGCTGCAACACGAAGCGCGCGCGGGTGAGTGCAGTTTGGACGAGGGAGGTGGTGTAGATGATGACGAGAAGGCTACAAAGACGTCCCGTGAAAGAGGCGGCGGGGTAGACGGCGGCAGCAGACAAGGCGCACACACACAGGCGGAGAGGACAGACGACGAATTCAGACCAACTGCAGAGGAAAAAATTAGGAAAAACTGACCACACCGTGTTGCTAGTCAGCACTTCACCCACGAGATTGAAGAAATCGAAGCTTTCTGTGCATCCGATACTCCGACGCTGATGGTTGCCCTGTTCGCGGCGATAGCTGCAGCCTGACGTGCCCAGAGGAGCAGAGACGTAGTAATGCCGACGGCAGGCGAGGGTGGGGTAAGGGGATGTGAGTCTTGGCCGGCGACCGCGCAGCAGGTGGTATTTAACGTCGATGCAAAACGAGTAAAATAGGAGGCAAGCCTGACATGATGCGGTCAGGGCGATGGGGATGAAGAAGATGAAGAAGAAGAGGAAGAAGAAGAGACTGTGAAAGCAAACAGCTGATGAGGCGTGGTGCGAAAGAGGAAAGCTGCCAGTTGGGAAGCAACATTGGGTGCGGCTGTTATGCTCCGTTCAGACTCAGACTCCAGAGTAAGTGCTTCCTTCCCGAGCTCGGCCTGTCATAACTACCTAGGTACCTAACGTACTGTGGCGTGACATGTTCGGCCCGGCCTGGGCACTGTGGCCTTCGTGTCTAGTGTCTCGAGGCTACTCCCTAGCGTCTGTCACGAGTTCACGGCCAAGTTGCACCAAGCAGGGCCATTGGATTGCACGGTCAACCCAACCCGGCCTGGGGGCTCGACTACCTCCTCCGTCTTTGGGCAACCACCCAGCTAGCCTATCAGCCAGTTGATCAAGAAGAGAAGACTAAACTCAGAAATGATGAAACGAAACAAAATAAAAGAATGGGGTACTATGGACGTGATCCATGATAAGCACTTCCACGCCACCCCGTCGAGTTTGCCAGAAAGAGGAGGGCGGGCAAGAAGTTAGTGCAGTGCGCTCGAGTGCGTGCCAACATCATTACCCCTCAGGTACTCAAGGAAGTAAGTACTTGATATGCAAGGGCAATTTGACGTGGCCATCGTTGCTCAGGGGCTCCAGCGGCCTTGGGCGCCCAAAAGAAAAGAGAAAGGAAGTAAGAAAAGTGAGAGACAGATCTGATGCAACAAGTAGCCCCTTGGAGCGCAATACGATATCGCCACTGGCAATGTCCGGTCGACTACTGGCTGTGAACATGGTCACGAGGCGCACAATTGCGGCCCCTTGCCGTTAAGTACTCAATTACGTACTTGGATACCTTGGTACTAGCGGACGTGGTTGACCAAGAGAAAGGTGGGGGGGCAAGGCAACATGCTGCGCTTATCAATTTACCACTGGGATTTAGGTACCTGAACATCTACTACTGCAGATACTCCAACCGGCAGGCAAATAAATGGGCTACGGATCAGTGACGTGTAAGCGATGAACTTTGTAAATTACCCAAGACTCCGGCACCACGACATCTACACCTCTACCCCCAATCACCTAGCTGGCAAAGCCGTAGTGACACAAAGAATTCAAATAATGTAACGTCATCAATGGTATGGTAGGCCGTCGCTTCCGTCGTCCCGTGTCAATCCCATTGCCGTTGCATTCGTGTTTATTTCCATCTCCTTAACTCCTTGAATCGATGAGATCTCAGGCCACATGAGCCATGACGTAAAGCACAGAAGCAGAGTAAAAGAAAATTCGAGGTCAAAAGGCCGGTAGTGGTACAATACAAGAAAACGTCCGGGAAACTGTGAGGACGCATATCAGATTTGGTGCAATCGCGTGACACGCCGCAATGCAAACCCAAAAGGGAAAAAAAAAAGGTTTGACTGGACACCGGGTGCCGAGAAAAAGACAAGTTGGGTATCGTCAAGAAAGTAACAACGAGCTCTTGGAAAACGAGACAGATGCAACTCCGCGAGTGCCCCCTGTGGAACCATCCAAACCAAGTTTACAGGACCTGGTGCCTCTCCAAAAGTTTTTGCAGAGAGCTGGTGCCAAACGACTCTTCGTCGGGCATCATTTCAATGAGGCCTGTCAAGTTGGCAAACAAATCGCCTTGGTTGTGGTAGGCCAACAGTGCCGGGACAGCGGCATTGTCAAATTCAATGTCATCGTAGTGAACCTTGACAAAGTGAATTGTTGAGTGGAACTTGACCAGGGGCGCGAGGGCTGACTCGATGGCGGCAGAAACGTCACACTGGTGTCAAACATGTCAGCACATGATGAGTTAACAGCAGCGCTGGGGCAACAACGCATGAGCAAACCAAGTAAAGTAGGCATGCAACCATCCAGACGACACACGACATACCTCATGATCGTAAACAAAGACGACGACCTTTGTCTCTCTGCTGACTTTCTCGATAGCGTCGAGATAGCCCAAAGCATCCACCTGGTCCAACCGGCCGTAGACTCGCACACTCGGACTGGTCCGTCGTGTCCGCACCGCCCTGCTGGCCTCGTCCTCCAGCTCTCGCCGTCGGCTATCTCGCCACTGTTGCAGAAACGTCTCTTCGTCTGAGCCGGGCCCGCTAAGTGTGTCGTCGTCCGTCTCACTCTCACTTTTGACCGCCCAGTTCTGGCTGATACCGGCCATGCCAAATATGCTCCGCCTGGCGGCCTTGGCTCTGTCTATCCACTTGGTCTTGCGGGCAGTCTCGAAACTTCTGGCGTCGGCGATGACACCCTTGACACCAGTTGATCTACCGCTGTCAAAGGACGCCGGGGGAAGCTTGATCTCCGAAACCCCGGTCGGCATACGCAAAGCTGCCTCCATCTTGGCGTTGTGGTATACAGTCTCTTCGTCGAGGTCGAGGTCGGAGTCGTCGTGCGACGAGAGCTCAGTGTCGTCACGATGCGACTCACGGGCAGTGTTCTTGGCAACGAGGCTGTTGTATTCGTCTTGGGCAGCAGTCGTGGCCATGGTGGGAGGGGAAGGAGACCGGGCGAGCCGATCCAACGGGGACGCCGGGGACGCTCTCTTTTGTACAGGTCGGAGGGAGTGGTGACGGGCGAGAAACACCCGGGGTGGGTGGTTTCAGGCGAGAGAAAAACGTAGCCGACTATCAGACGATGGACGTTCTGGAAGGAGTGGAGCAGGCGTGGCCGCGGTTGCCGTTTGAGACGCAAGGCTATGCTCGCGTTGAGCGTGGCAGTGTTTTGCGAGGTCGGGTCGAAGCTTGGTGGGGGAAGACGAGGACAAGTGTGCGCAGGTCAAGGTGCGATCAAAGACTTGGCACTCGGTGGCAGCAATAAGTAAGTAGTACGTAGTATCGAACGCTGGACAGGGGAGAGAGTAGCGCCCAGGCCAGTGCCGGACACGAGCGAAGTTGGTGGAGGGACAATGAATAATGGATAATGCAACCCCCCTCCCCCCCCCTTGCTGTCGCGATGTTCAAACTGGGGTTGTCTCAAGACGGTGGAAAGGCTGGACAAGTCGTCAAGGGCGGGCGTCGTGGTGGCGTGGACTGAAGACGACGTCGAGATGAAGGAACTTGATACGTGCTACTCCGTACTGGTTACGGCAAGTCAACAATCGAGTTGGTGGGGGACAGGTGGGGCTTCGGGGCCCATGGACGGCGGCGGTTGGACAGTTGATGACACGGAGCAAATGGGGAATGGGCATGAGTGTGGGAGAAATTAAGAAGAGGGAAAAAAAAAAAAATACTACTCCGTACTAGTAGTAGTCGCAGTCGTACTCCGTACAGCGACAAAGAACTTGAGATGACGAGCGGCCGCGCCGGCATGACAGGTACGCCCAGTGGGCAATATTGCCCGCCAAGCCCATCAGCCACCAGGCCTGTCAGGGGCTGCTGCGCGCCTCACGTGCAGGCCAGCCGCAAAACGGCGGGCCGCCGAACGCGAATGCACCTAACGGGAACACGCTCACGCAACGTGCATGCAATACACACTTGCAGAGTACACGGTGTTGTGTCTGCCTTTGACTACCTGCCTAGGGACCTACCAAGTACCTGGCAAGTATGTGCTGCAACATTATTTTTGGACGCGCCAGAACATGATTAAGCGGTCCAACGGCCACATCTTTGTTTCGTTTCGTCCTGTACTAGCATCGTCGCCCGGCGCCCTCCCAGAGGCCAACTTGGTCTCTTGTGTGCCGCTGGCTGTACGTGCGTTTATTATTGCATCGGTTATAGTTTCGAGCACCGAGTCATCCGCCTGCCCGACGACGCGCGCCGTGTGTGTTGTCTGGTGTCCGTCGGTCCGCCGTGGACGCGTCGCATCATCCGTCACGACGAGAGTCATGAGTGAATGGCGCTGAGAGCTGAACTGCCTCCCCGGGCAGGCATCCCTCGGGCCAGCAATTCCGTGTCTGTGTAGCCAGACGGAAAAAGCGCAAAGTGCGCTGAATCACCTTGATGATGCCAAGTCGCCGCCGTGGTTGTATTATTACTATTTGCGTCGTGCCGTCTCGTCTTCTGCCACCAGACGGGAAATCCGAGTCCGTCCTGTACGCATACGTGCTGAAGTAGTGTGTGTACCATCATCTATGCCACGGGCCACGGCATTGCATCCCCATCCCTGGCGCCAACGCTTGCGATGATGGCGTCGCAGAGCAGAGCCCGAGATGCACCACGTGGACATCATTAGCCGCAGCAGCAGAGCAGCAGGGCAGCAGGGCAGCAGGGGAGGGGTAAGTGATTTTGCATTTTCGTTCATCATGGGCCCCCCGACATGACGATTCGCGCCGCCGCATGTCATGACAGCTACAGTGGAGAATCCATGCATCTGCATCTGCATCGGCATCTGCACATGTGCACTTTGTCCCTCGTCCCCCTTCTGGAAACAAAAGACAAGACAAGTTGTCCCGTCATTTCCGTCCCGTTGCAGCTTCTGACGACGTTGACGTGTGCGTGTACGGATCAGTATCGAGTCGACCCCGTTGGCAAATGCTCCCTGTTGCTTCCTGCATTCAAGGCCACGCCTAGATATATAAACGCCACACGAGCAAGATTTGGATTACGGATACTAGACTGGGAGCCAGGCTTCAGATGACTTGGACAAAAAACCAACAAGTCCAGCAGAGTCGGCGACGCCTGGTGTACCGGCACCACAGCGTCCCAGAATTCGGCCTCCCCGTTCGCCCCAGCAGGAATTATGAATCACGTATAGTGCGGTACTATATAATGCTATGCTATGCTCTCCTATGCTATGCCATGCCTTGCCTTGCCACGTTATGCTGCCATGAAATGTGGTCCGCCTTGTTACATCTTGCTCGCGAGCCAAGAAAGGACACATCATGGCAGTCGAGTCGAGTCGCGTCGCGTCTCCCTCACCCATATGCGCAGATTTCAGCAGGACCACCCCCCCCCCTACGCCCGTCCGCTCAAGGCCCTTCGCCTCGAATCCCAACCCAGCTGCTGACCCAGCCCCAGCCTCGTCCCTCCTCTCAAGTATGTACCGGGAACCTACCTCGTCACAGCCGCAGACCACCAGCTCTGCCGCGCCAACAAGTTGCAGCAGCCAGCAGGAGCAGGCATGACGGTGAGCCTGAGCTGAGCCTGAGCTGAGCCGTCTCTGCTCGGTCTCGCGCAGAACAAAACAGGCACACGCCTGCCCGCTGCCGCTTCAGCTGCGGCACCTGAGCGCCAGGTAGTAACTACGTATTTCCGTTACCGTTCTATCGGGTCTGAGACGTCGTGGGAGCGGCCAGGCCAATGGAGTCGACGCCTTCGGGTTCCACTTTATCTAACCACCGTGTCGGCATGTCGGCCTCAATGTCCAGTCGACGTTCGCGCGCATATTCAACACTTGCGCCAGCCCACCCAGGCCTCGTCGCCGTTTCGTCCTCGCACGGATGTGTTCTTCTCATTTCCGAGTGCTCGTCCTCGCACGGATATCATTTTCTCATTCCCCGGTGCTCGTCTGGCCAGCATGCTCTACGTCATTAAAGTGGCATCAAGAACGAGAACGAGGTGGGCAAACGCCCGCCGCTTTCGCTGTATACGATGTATCGAGGTTGCCGTTTCCGCCGCCAGCATCCTGCCGAGCGGAATTCCCTCGTCACCCAGCAACAAATGTGCAATGGGGGTTCTGACCTGTCCTAGAACTGCTACATGCACGGCCGAGGCTCATCATTGCTTTCCGGTCCAGTTATTTGCAACATCGTGGTGTATTAACTCGAGGTCTGATATAGTTCTTGGTATAGCCTCTCTAGCATCCTCCTCAGACCCTCGCTTGACAAGACCCTCTGCTTCCCACAACAGCTACAACTTCCCCGAGCTCATTGTGAAACCTTTTTATATTTTCGGCACGCCTCTTAGCTTGCGTCTCTTGCTCCCGTCGCTTCGTATCCCCAAACCCCCCCCCTTCCGTCCGAGATGACCTAGTATGTAGCAAAATTGTCGGGTGAAGAGAGCAGGGCAAAAAAACCAAACCAAACAAACAAACAGAGAGGCTAGTGTGCATGTGGAAAACCGTCATGTGATACAACCCCCTGGTCGCCGACATACCCGCAAGCAAGTCAGGACAGGCGGAAACTGATGGGGTAGGGAATCCTTCCGATCGCAGAGTAAGAAACAGGTAGGAAGAAAAGAATATTAAGTAACAAATGGACACTCAAGACAAGGAAATGAGGTATCGCGTCAGTCAGCTTTCTCCCATCAGACTATTACCGTGGCAGCTGACCGTCAGTCTTGTATCCGTCGCTGAGAATCATCCTCGCTCCATCGCCTTGCGAGGATGCCCATTCTTTTTCTGAGACAGAAAAAAAACAGTCCAAGTAGAGTATAAAATTCGAGGAAGGTACGTTTCGTCACTTCGTCCCGCGTGAGCCGGTACACGCGTGCCACATTGAGCGTACTAAGGTTGGCCGAAATCTTAATAGGCAACATCGTCCTTCAAGTGCAGGTGTCCGAGTCGTCGTCCCACTACTGGGGTAGTTGACTTGCCCAAGCAGGACACTCATCGTTTTTGCGGACGATATTCTCTAGTATGCCCATATTTTCAACTGCGAGCCGTTAGCCTTGATGCTGCCCAACGAACAAGGGATAAATATACGTTCTGCCAGTGGGAGCCAGCGCAGAGCACTACTGTGCTATTCAAAACTTACCAAAGAATCCCATGAACCCGTGCACAAGCTGATACCGTCATTGCTTACACCCAAACAGCTCACGCGATTTTCGTGGCCTACAAGTGACCCGACTTTCTCCCCTCGGGTTACATCCCAAACCTGGACAAGCCCAATGGTTAGTATCCGCAACAAGTGAATTTGGGCCAGGCCAATTCAGGTGTCAAGATTACCTTGCATTCAAAATCATCATAGCCTGCAAATAACAGGCGGCCAGACACCGACGTGGCAACTGAGGTGATGCCACAAAGGATGGTCTCGGACTACATACAAAGTGTTAGCTCTAACAGATGCCGAGACCAGTGCGTCAGTGGCAGCATAAACCTACGCCATACACGTTCAACTCGCGGTCTGCTCGGATGTCGAACAGGCGGCAAGTAGCGTCATCAGAGCCGGCGACGAAAGAATGTCCATCAGGGAAAAATTGGATGGCGTTAATGTCAGACTCGTGACCGGCAAACGTCTGGACAGCCTTGCCGGCTCGAATATCCCACAGCTTGGCGAAAGCGTCGCAGGCACCGGAGATGAAGGTGTTTTGGTTGGTGGGGTTGAGCGAAATGCTCATGATGTCCCCAAGATGATCGGCAAACTCGGTAACCTTTTGGCCGGTTTCGATATCCCACTTCATACAGGTCATGTCGCCAGAAGAGGTCAGAATGCTGCGGTCGTTGATAAATCGGCAGCAAGACAAGTAGCCAGCGTGGCCGGACAGTTCTCGAGCGACACGCGTGGGGCCATCGCGCTGCTGATTGAGATTGTAGATGGAGCAAATGTTGTCAAGACCACCACAGGCCACAAAATTTCCGCTAGGAGCGTAGGCGCAGGTCATTACCCAT